CTCAAAAGTTCGTACATGGCAATTGTTCTTAGGATTTATTGTTTAACACAAATCTTAAATCAACCAGTAATAGCGCGCCAAAACACACTTGTAGCACCAGACCATGTCTACTTTCGAGCTCGTCGCCAGACGAAGTATAGCAGTCGGAACATCACGATCAATAGATGTACGTACAATTGACAGCCTGATTGACCTGACTCGATCGTGAGACAAACGAATAAACATTCATTTGACTGATCTACTTTGTTCGGAAAATATCTGATTAGGGCTCTTATTTACAGTTAGGATCTCTCCCATTCCGGAAGTTATAACTCTAAGCGCATACAGAAAGTATACAACCTCTTGACGTATGTTCTTGCATAAGGATCCATTCTGTCATGACAATAATAACATTAGACCCCAAGGAAGGTTTTTTTTTTTTTTTTTAATTTTTTTTTTAAAGCAGAGTTGTACCCTGTAGCTCACGATCTGTGACCCATAGCCAACCCCATGGATAATAAGGCTCACTCCACAGCCCACAGTCCTAAGGTGTGAGGCCTAGATTATGATTCACATGTCCAGATGAAGAGCATTATTACTAACAATGCAAGATGTGTGATGGTTAATTTCTGTTCCTCTTGATTAATCAATCAAATCCACCTGTTTGGAAAATTATCCAGCTGGGTAGAATGACTGCTTGGAAGCAAAATGACCATTTGGTTAAACAACCCTAAAAACCATATTGACTTTGTTAACTTGCAATTCTCTTTAGGCAACTGTGTACCATTCATCATTAATTTAATGAGTATGTCACCTTCAGGAGAATAGTGTTGCTCCTCAATAATATTTCTCTTTAAAACAAGTCACAAGTGTTAGATCCTTGCAAAATTAGACCAATTTGGGGATTGCAAAGAGGGTCTGAAGTCTTCAAAGGATTGTTAACATTTTCTGTGACAGTCACTCTCTTAATGACCTTTGGAGCTGAAATCATCATTTAAATAGAATTGCCTTAAATTAGCCGATACCTCTCAGAAATGATTCATATGATACCTCTCCTCAGAGTGAGTGATGAAAAATGTGAAACATAGCAACGAGAAGGCATTGTCTTGATATATATATATAACAGTGAAATTCTTGAATTAATATACAAATGTAGAGGAGCCTAAACAAAGAATTTCTATACACATCTCGGGAATTTAGGGTAAAGATAATGAAATTTAAAAAGGGCTCAGAATAAGTTATATTGAAGTTTACAAATAGTTCTTCAGTCCAACAGCCAATCAATATAATGTAAAACAAGGAATTTAGCAAAAACTTATACAGACTACCCTTGCTCAAATTACTACACAGGTGACTGATAGTGATTTTCTTCCAGGCTTACATTGGCTCTTTTGTTGGACTGGGTGAAAACTATTACTCCAACATGGCAACTGTGTTAGCATTTGCAAGTGGCTTGTACAAGAACAATAGTTACTCTGATGTTTTGGAAATAAATGACACTGAAATTTTTGGTGTTCGTGTAAGGATATACAAGCCAGTGAACAAAACTAAGGGGTCTCCTGAAAGCAAATCCAATGAAGAAACTCTTTTACCAGGAGTAATTTACTTTCATGGTGGAGGATGGGCCATAGGAAGCCTGGGTAAGTTACATCTATGTCATTGTGACAGGGAGGAAAAGGCTGCTCTCTGCCAGAGGCTATAGTATTCCCTAACATACATATGTTTATAATCAAAACTATTATAATAACAACATTCTTGAACCTGATTGGTTATCAACAGCCCAAAAATAGGACAGTGTACACCTCATGCTCATAATAGAACAGTTTAATAGGACAGTTGACACCCCTTGTCTATGTATGTCGTTTCATCACTGATGTCTAAATTCTTTCTCAAATTTTTTTCACAGTTATAATTAATTGGTAACGGGATGTTGTGTTGTCTAATTTGTATATATGTAATTGTTGCCCTCTTGATTGCCAAAGGTGCCTTTTTGATTAAGAAAAAAATGTCCTGACTGTCTCAGTCTGTCTCTGTCTCAGTCTCAGTCATTGATTATGACCTGCATATGATAATGTCTGTAATCATACTTGTGATTAAGAAATCGGACTCCCACTTTGCATTCGTTCAATTTTGTAAACCACTTGTGTGACAACAGATAGAAATGAACTCCACTCATCCCTGTCACCATTATGAATACCCCTCCTGTTATGAAAAGCTGCTTTTTGTAATGTCCTAGAAGTTCACAACATTCACAATAGACTGAAAAGAAAAAATACCTCTGGAGACAGGGATGTAGATAATAGCCGGAAGCCAGGAAAATTACCCAGCTGTGAATGCAATTTTTCCGGCTGTGAAGCACTACTTCTTTCTCCAAAATGTTTGGAAATGTTGTCAGAAGATTGTTATTTATTTATTTCATTTGTTTACACCTTCAAATCTAGGTATAACGTGCCAAAGGCATGCTAGAGTGGGCCTTCGGCTCAAATACCCACCTATCGTTGCAAGATTCCCGCCTGTTAAAAACTTTAGCTACATCCTTGTGGAGAACTAATCAGACAGGCAGAACGTGATAAGCTTCTAATCATAATCCTATGATTAATGCTTAAGTTCTTCTTCTCCTCAGAGGGATATGACGATTTCTGCCGTAGACTGGCAGTGTCAGCTCAAGTCATTGTTGTGAGTGCGGAGTAAGAAACGTTATTATAATTCTCTGGCTGATAAAACTCTGCTGGCTAATTTACTAAAAAATATACTTTGCTTCTTTTGTTTTCCAACAATTTACAATGGTCAAGTGTGTACCAGCTAATATGTAATAAAGTAAAAAGTAAGAGGACTGTAACACTACTGTTCATTTTTGCAGTCACTTCACAATTAGTTTTGCACCTTCCTTAAGCTGCTACTGGTCATGTCTAAATTCTCTCTTCTTGCTTCTTTGTATAGTCTTGAAAATTGATTAAGAGAAGTTAATGATTTATCAAGATGAAAGTCCCTAGCTGATAAGTTTGTCTGTTTTCATTATCTGAGTGCTGGATAATGTATTGAAATTGTAGGGAGAAGTTACTTTTTAATCACGTGTGGAAGTTAGGGGCTACTGCACCTTTCAATAATGTGCTCTCTTTGAGGCTCACAGCCAAACTTGTGATTTTGTTTCATCCTGCTGCCACTCTTTACTGTAACAGACATCTAAAAGCAAAAACAATCAAATTGATCCTCCGATTTCAAGAACAGGGATCTTCTTAATGCTTTAAAACAATTTAAAACTGTTTCCTGACAGGTCTGCAAAAAAGACAGCATTGCAAATTTGGTATTTATTGTAAATCACCAACCTCATTGCTTGCCTATTATTGGAAAGCAAAGTAACATTAAAGGTCACTAACCTTAGCATACTTACTTCCTTTTAGTTACAGGCAAGCTCCTAAGTATACTTATCCAATCCAGTTTAATGACTGCTACAATGTAGCTGTTGGCCTCCTCAACACTGGAAAAGACCATGGAGTTGATGTCACACGAGTCATGTTGGTTGGTGACAGTTCTGGAGGAAACTTGGCTGCAGCAGTTTCTCATTACCTGGCTGAAGTCTCCGAAATGCATTGTAGGCAGAATTATTTGAAAGCACAGGTATGTATAAATTCAGCACAGGTATATTAGTGAGAATATAATCTTAGGAAACTCATATATTTGAAGCACAAGTAAAGAAGTTGAGAAAATAAAATCTGATCATTGAAGAAAGAATGAGATTCAAACCTATCACTATTCTCAGGGCTGCAATGACAGTACAGTGCCTAAAGCAAGCAACCTCTACATGAGTGAAATGGAAGTAAATCTGCAGTTAAACCTTCGTGAATAATCACATACCTCAAGCTGTAAAATACAATTTGCAGGAAACTGGAATTAATCATTGCCCTATTAATTCTTTAACTCCCAAGATCTGATTGTTAACTCTCCCTTTAGCTGTTACACATTTCCTTGTAAATTAGTTTGGAGAATTTGGTGTTACATGTATATCAAGATAACAAGAACTCTTACCTGGTAAATTTGAATATTCTGATTACCTGTTTGCTGGATAATACATGGATATTTTAGCGAGAAGTTATTTATTAATCACTTCTGGAAGTAAAGGGTTAATGGTTCTGTTGAATACTTGACTGAGTGGCTAAAACTTTATACAGCAGTTTGAGACATTTGAGGTGTTCAATAATAGAAGGCAGCATTATGGATGCAAGAAAGACAAAGTGGTGCTGAAGACTGCTTGCCTGCCACCACTGGGTACTGGGTCAGATTTCAGGACTTAGCATCAAATGTATAGATCAAGTTTGTCATTAGATCTCTTGTTCTTCTTCTTGTAGATTCTCATCTATCCTGCTTTACAGTTCCTTGACTTCAACTTGCCATCATACACTACCAATGCAGTCAATGACATACTCTCTCAAGAAGAGCATGTAAAATTTGTTTCGCTATACCTTAATGGCTCCACAGACCTCATGGAGATTCTTCTGTCTGGGAATCACTCTCAACATCTCCTTGGAACAAAGTATATGGGGTTTCTAAGAAAGTCAACACCAGGCATTTCATGGCTTCCACAACTGAAAACAACACTACCACCTGTTGTACTGGAAGCTTTGACCCAATCTAAAGCATCTCCTTTAATAGCAGAAGACTTTAGAGGAGTACCTCCTACTTTTGTTATTACAGCAAACTTTGACGTTTTAAGAGACGAAGGCATCCTTTATGTAGAACGATTGCAAGATGCAAACATTGAAGTCCAACACAAGAACTATCAATCTTTTCATGGGTTTGTGACATTAGCTGCTGATGGAGGACCAGCCAGGACAAATGAGGGGGATGAGGCATTTGCTGATATAGTACAGTATGTTAAAGACATGGTATCCAGCTAGTTTTAGTAACCATATCAGTCTCTAACATCGCCATTAAAGACAAGGAAAGCCTAAACTTGGCGCTCAAGCCTGGTTTTAGTTGTAGGTTTAGTTTATAATCAAATACCCTGTAGATATATTGTATGTCACACTTTCTTAGCCATTGGATTTTTTAAAAACATGGGCTTTGTCATTTTAACCAATGCTAGAAAATAATTTTTAAGATATTTTTTTAAACACAAATGTATGTACTCTGAAAAGTTTCTCCGGAGGTAAATAGTTTTACAAGATTCTGTTCTGAATGACTTTAACACTGCTGAATATATTTTTCCCTTATTTGTACAAAGTTACTAATGCTATAAGATTGATGTATACTTGTAGGAGATAGTGAACTATCTGTGCATATTTATTGTGAACATATTTGTCAAAACTGGTGATATTTAATTCTTAAAATATGATTACCTAGCCACTCCAGTGACTATAAATATTTTAGGTAGTTGTTGAGCAATGCTGATCATTAAATTGTGCATATTTTTGTCATTCCCATTACTTTCATTTTTTTGAAAGAACAGTTGAAACAGCTTGCAAAAATGTGTAAACAAAGCAGGAAAGATTCAGATGTTTAGAAAATTTATTTTGGCTGAAACATACCTAAGGAAAGTCTAACTTCCCAAACATGATTCACAAAGGTTATGCCAGTGATGCATTTCTATAGTGCATTTTCCATAATATGCAGATTACGCCATATAAATGAATATGTTCTGATACACTCTACAGTACTTTGCAGGAGACTTTGGCCAGACTGCATTGGGCAGTCGACAATTTTCAAAGGAATTCTTTAGGTGCCCCCAGTTTAAGAATTTTTTTGTGGGATACAAGGCCAGAATGGGAACTACATTCCCTTCTTTTTGCAGTTCTTTAACTCTCAAGATCTGACTGTTAATTCTTCCCATCCAGCTTCCATGCATTTCCTTGTAAATCAGTTGCAAGATTTGTTATCAGATGAAGAAAACAACTTCTACTTGTTAAGTTTGATTCATTAACAGTTTGCTGGATAAGGTAAGGATATTAGAGAGAGAAGTTACTTGTTAATCTTCTCTAGGAGTTAAAAGGTTAACACATCCTGCTAACCTGTATTGAGAAGATGCAGGAGATGGAGCCATCAATTTTTGTCCTTATCCGAGAAGACTAGAATGTCTAACCATTTTGTAACAAAGGCAGCATGTTTTTCTTAGTTATTTTAAGACCCTGAGTGCTGATCTGGTCCATGGTTACTCTTGTGTGGATGTCTAACTTTCTTTTTATAGAGTCCATAAGGTTTCTCTTGGGTGGACGAATCAAGATGTATGGGGTATCAAGCAATGTTCTTGTTCTCAAACAATTCCCTAGAATTGTTTTCCAATAAAAATTTAAGCAGACTTTTATACTTTGTTATACTCGTTCAAGATGTGAATCAAGACAAATGGTATGTGATGTCCTAACATTTTTTGTAAACGGACTTTGACTTTTTTACTCCCCTTTCACAAAGTCAACTATATCTCTCAATGCCTGATTAAACTCCTCTGTTACAAAATAAGGTGACACTTGAACTGCCAAAAAAGGATGGTAGCTCATGTAGTTTAAATGGGTCACTTTGACACCAGCATCCAACAAACGAGCCCTGTACAACAGACCATCATCCTTTAAGATATCAAATTCACATGTGATGATTAATGTCTTGGGAAGCCCCTTTAAACTATTAGCCATTAAAGGTGATGCTCTATAGTCCACCAGACCATTTAAAACAACCTCTGGAATTCCATCTAATGGCTTCTTTTTTTTATTTTGCTGTCCCCTATCACCAACCCCAATGTAAGAGGAGTACTTTGTGTTGTGAAGATGCCTGGAGTGATTGTTTGCTAAAAAGGATGATACCATGTTAGGTGTTCCTGTCATGTAATATGACCAGTACTCTGCTAATTGTTCCAATGACAAGAGCCGAGAGTCATGGTTTTCAAACGAGGGAAGTGAAAAGTCCATAAACTGAAGTGTAGGGTAGATGAGAATCTGCAATCAAAACAGAAGAAAAGTTGAAAAGAATCACACAATCATTGACGCTTAGTTCCAGTTGAGATCTGTAATGTAAGAAATGGATGCTTCCACTGGTAAGACCACAAGTAAAATTTGTTACCATGGTGTCTTCGTGATTACCATCGTAACTTAAGCAAAAAAGTTATTTTAGGGTATCTTTCTTGGCATAGAGAAATCAATAGGGTCTTGAAAGGCTGGTTAAAGGTTCTGTTACCTCAGCTGCCAGGTGTTTGTCCTCATCTCGAAGCTTGAGAGCAACTGCAGCTGCTAGATTACCACCAGCACTGTCTCCAGCAACAATAATATGGTTTGTATCAATATCATATTTTTCTCCAGTGGCCAGTAAGGTGTTAACAACAACATAACAGTCATGGAACTGGGTTGGGAAAGTGTGTTTGGGTGCTAATCTGTATCTGAAAAGTTTAGAGACATATGGAGCAGTGGTAAGTTGTAAGCCTTATTATCTTGAATTTATCCTGTCATTGCAAGAAAAAGAGCTCAAATTAGGATTCATTTTCATTATCAAATGAATAGAGCACAACAAAATTTGCAATAGGTGAAAGGAAGAAACATGAGCTTGCTTTCAAGGTTAGTAGATCATGTTGTACAACCATACATCAGTAGAAATCCAGACTCAGTTGGTAGAATACTTACTCAACAGACACCAGTACAACATTTGCCTCTTTAGCTAACAGCAGAGTAAATGGATGATGCTGATCTGAAGAAATAGTTTATAAAAAAAAATTATTGTTAACCGATGCAAATTTTTAACAACATAAAAAAATCAGGGTTCATGTTGGTACCCACATTAGAGATTAAAAGAAGCTTTCAAGTTGCTAAATTATTCATTTAAGTTTATTGCAATATGTTGTGTCTAGAGCTCCAGCTTCCAAACATTGCCATGTTCCTTGTCTGCCTCCCCCCCTCCACCCTCACAAAATCCTGTTTCTGCACATGTAATCCCTCTTTGATCCTTTTTCTCTCTTCTCTTCCACCCTTTCATTTCCAATTTTTCCAGGCTTCTAATCCCCTTTCTCTTTAATTCTTCCTCAATAAACTAATTCCAGAGTTTTGTTTCCTGATGCTACCAGCAGGTACTGATAAATTATCTTATCAACCCTTTAACCTTTTAAGTCCCAGAAGTGATCAACATCAAACTTCTCTCTATAATATCCTCACATTATCCAGCAAATAGGTAGTGAGAATATTCAAACTTATCAGGTAGATGTTGTTATCCTAATCTAGCACCAAATTCTCATTACTACTTTACAAGGAAATGTGTAACAGCTTGAGGGGAGAATTAATCATTTGATTTTGGGAGTTGAAGGGTTAACTCCCAAAATCTGATTGTTAATTCTCTCCTCCAGCTGCTACACAGTTCCTTTTAGATAATTTACAAGAACTTGGTGTTAGATGTGGGTAACTGCTTCTATCTGATAAGTCTGGGTATTTTCATCACCTGTCTAATTTGGTGGATAATGATGGATATTTCTGGGGGAAGTTACATGACTGTTAGTTTATCACTTCTTGGAGCTAAAGGACTCCTACAACCTACCAACACTTCCAAGAGTAAATCCACCGCCATGAAAGTAAACCACACCAGTAGTTCTTTTGCTGCCATGAATTTTTGGTTTATAAAAACGTACAGGGATGTTGGCTATCTTGTCATTCCAGATTTCCAAGAGGTTTTCTGATTCGTCACTTTCAGGGAGCATCGATGATAACCATTGAAGTCCCAAATTAGTATTTTCCATTGCGGACTCCCCGATCCCAATATCTGAAGCTGTAGACGCCTTGAAAAAAGAGAATACCGGTAGTTCAAAATAAGCTTCAGATCAAGCGCGACGCTTTCAATTAGACCTTAGGGGTGGAAGTGGGCCAAATTATTTCTTAGTTCCCTGTTTAGAATCGGAGGATTTTCTGAGTCATAGAGTCATAGCAACCCGATCGATTATCCTTCTCCGTCAACTAAATAATTTCGCAATTTGTGATGAACATATAATTTCTAATGTGGCTGCAATGATTAGTTACTCTACCTTGACAGTACGTGCCAGCGTAGAAAAGTGAATCGTCCAACAAAAATTTTTGTGAATCGACGAAGTGATTCCACCGACCTAATCCAACATTCAATAATAATTCTATCGACGACAAGTAATCAACAGCTGCAAGTGTCCTTACCAGAAAGCGGAGTATATCCATACCAGTACCGAAAACTCGTAGACCCATCAACTGATCGTCGGGCAATCCCTTTGGAATTTCCTGACTATTGTACCAGGCCACGATAATGCCAAAAAAGATTCCAACAGTTAGACTGAAAATAAGGAAAAAGTTAGCCATGATCTTCTTTGAATGTCACAGCGCACTTTCCCTTTGCGAGATTTTTTTTCCGTATTAAGCTGGATCATATGATCCTACTGTCACGCAACGACTAAAGCTTCCTTTGACTAGGACAGCACAAACTCAAGTACCAATGTGTTTTATGAACAATTAATAATAATAATAATAATAATAATAATAATAACAATAATAATAAAATAACAATGATTATAAGCTCCCCAATGTAATCAGGAGCGCAACCGTGAATTGTATACGTCAATAGTAACATCTTTTAAAACTCTATGCAAAAACAATTGGCAGCCAGTCAAGACTACATAAAAGAGGAGTTGTTCGACAATGTCTTAGTTTTTGAAATATTAATCTGGCAGCTGCATTCTGGACTCTTTGTAGTTTCTCTTACTGATAAATGGTTAAAGGGGGTAACTTTCTAAAGAAATTGCGGTGCTACGTCGGTGGGAGAGTACAACAGGCTGAGTTGAAACGGTGGCCAATATACACTAAAGGTATGGTCCCGATGGAAATAGCTAGTTTTGTTTTCCGGAGAGTCCTGATGTTTCCCTCGACTTCATCTCGGGAAACATCAGGACACTCAGGAAAACAAAACTAACTTGTTTCCCGAGAGACCATACATTAAGTGCTTTGTTATATATTTAGACTTTCCCTCTAACAATCATATGTCAAAACCATGCTGCTACATTCGGCGCGCTTGCGACAACTGCGCAATTGTAGCCCGGTCGGGATACAATTGTATTTGATCAGGGGCTCATGACCAAACATCAACCAATCACAGTGCTCGTTTTGTTGAGTGAAAGTCTGGGTTATCAACTCAGTTGATAAATCTAAATTACCCTGTCTCACTGATAAGCTGGCAATAATGGACATGACTTAATACAAACTCACGAATAACTGTCTCGGTGGACTCTCTTGATAAATATGTCCTAATTCATCCTAGATCATACAAATAATTAAAAGCCGTTGAGCATATCTTATTAACATGTGTATTCATCGTTAAAGTGGATTCAAACAACACACCTAGGTTCTTTACCATTGATGGTAGACTTAGGTAGTAAGTCAGATTATCCAGTTGTAATTATGTCGATTGCCAGTTGCTACTTAAAGCCAATCATCAGAACTTCTGTTTTGTCATCGTTTAGTAGCATTTTTATATAATCTACGGTGTTATACAAGGATTTCCAGCCTTGAGAAAAGCCATAACAACTCACGTTCTGAAAAATTACGATATTTTTTTCACGTGTTTGACTCGCCAATCGGCTGCTGAACGTCACTTGCTTTTAGCGCCACTCAGTCAGGCTGATAAACAAACATGGAATGAATAAAACAATGATGCATTTCTTTCGCGCATTTTCCATAAAATGAAAATTTCGCTATATAAGTGAATATGCTCTATTACGCTTTTAACAATACTTTGCAAGGGACTTTGGCCAGACTGCATTGAGCAGTCTACAATACTTGAAAGGAATTTTGACAGGTGCCCCAGTTTAGAAGTTTTTTTTCGGAATACAAGGCCAGATCACAACTCTGGGAGCTGGGCTTCCTACTCTTTGAAAGAAGTGTGTGGGTTCTTTAGCGTCTTCTTTTACTATCTCCGATCATCAGTTTTCGTCCTTATCCGAGAAGACTAGAATGTCTAACCATTTGCAGATGTCAGAGCAAAATCAGCACATTCTCCTCCAGTTTAGTATTTTAAGACCCTGAGAGTTAGTCTAGTCCAGGGTTACTCTTGTGCGGAAGTTTAACATTTCAAAACGTGTCAAAAATGTTTCTCTTGAACGAATGAATCAAGATTGATAGGATCATGCAATGTCTTAAAAAAAAACTCATAAAATTGTTTGCTTAAATAAACTTAACTAGACATTTATACTTTTTTATACCCTGTTCAAGATGTGAATCAAGACGAAGAGGATGCAATGTGTTACGAATGGATATAATCTAACCGACAGAAAAACACTACAATCCTACAAACTTAACAACTTCAATAAACAAGTGTTTGATATTCTTAATAACAAGCGACTACTGAAGGCAGTACAGTACTTATGCTCGACAAACTTACTTAAGCCCACTACAGTCAATATCTTAGCTCACCCCTGAGCCGAACTCAAGGTTTTCCACAACGTTTCTTGAAATTAGCAATCTTCTACTGTTACTCTCTCTCATAGCTTTCTAAACAGTCGGTCACCCCTGACAACAACAATAAATACTACTACTACTACCTAACCGAGTCTTTATATACATTCACAAAGTGTTCTGGAACATTCCAGAGGCTTACAAAAGAACTATTTAAGTACTATTACGTAATGACTGCGTGACGTGATGAAATGTTCTTGAAAGTTCTATGGTACGTATGTCAGCATACCTAAGCAGTCTGGAGATTTTTAGAAGCGTACATTTACAACAACCATTTCTCATAACCAAAGTCTTCTTCAAAAATGCCTTAAATGTTTTGTTAATCAAATTTATGCATATTTTTAGACTTTTTTACACTCCTTTCACAAAGTCAACTATATCTCTCAATGCCTGATTAAACTCCTCAGCTACAAAGTAAGGTGATGCTTGAATTGCCAAAAAGGCATGGTAGCTCATGTAGTTTAAATGGGTCACTTTGACACCAGCATCCAACAAACGAGCCCTGTACAACAGACCATCATCCTTTAAGATGTCAAATTCACATGTAATGATTAACGTCTTGGGAAGCCCCTTTAAACTATTTGCCATTAAAGGTGATGCTCTATAGTCCACCAGACTATCTAAAACAATTACTGGAATTCCACGTAATGGCTTCTTCTGTTGATTTTGTTGTCCCTTTTCACCAACCCCAATGTAAGAGGAGTACTTTGTGTTGCGAAGATGCCTGGAATGATTGTTTGCCAAAAAGGATGAGACCGTGTCAGCTGATCCTGTCATGTAATATGACCAGTAACCTGCCAATTGTTCCAATGACAAGAGTCGAGAGCCATGGTTTTGATACGAGGGAAGTGAAAAGTCCATGAACTGAAGTGCAGGGTAGATGAGAATCTGCAATCAAAACAGAAGAAAAGTTAAAAATAATCACCCAATCTTTGACATTTAGTTTCTAGTTGAGATCTATAATTTAAAAAATGTATGTTTCCCACAAGAAAATACTAAGACCACTTGAAAGCAAGTAATCATTTTTGCCTTAGGAGTGAGGGGAGGGGGATCAAAAGAATTTGATCATGTCAGGATAAAATTTACCTGATCCCCTATAAGGCACTGTAATATTCTTATGACCCCCCCATGACCCCCCATCTCATTGGCAATCAATTTTGTGACAACTGGTCTCCTCTGTTCCCCCTAAAATCCTCCATCCTCAGGCAACAATGAACAACTGCATGGTCCCAAATAAAGCCAACCTTTGAGATGTAACCAACAATTATAGCAACTCATATGTAATCATTTCACAAATACATTGTTCTGTAAACTTAAAATACTTCATTTAACAACAGTATGTGAAGGGAAATAAAGCATCAACTGAAGAAAAATTCCTAAAGAACTGGCTCTGACTTGCAAAGGATAAAGTTTGCATTGAATCAAGCATGCAAGGTGTTTCATCACTCAAATGGCAATAGGCCAGACAATGATGAGCTGAGATCAGTTAAGTAGCTGGCTTTGCATGAAAGATTTGTTACCACAGTGACCTTGTGATTGCCATGATAACCTAGGTAATAGAGGTATTTAGGGGTAACTTTCCTTTACAAAAGAAATCAATAGGGTCTTACGAAGGCTGGTTGGTAGATCAAGGTAACATTACCTCAGCTGCCAGATGTTTGTCCTCATCTCGAAGCTTGAGAGCAACTGCAGCTGCTAGATTACCACCAGCACTGTCTCCAGCAACAATAATACGGTTTGTATCAATACCATATTTCGCTCCAGTGGCCAGCAGGGTGTTAACAACAGCATAACTGTCATGGAACTGGGCAGGGAAGGTGTGTTTGGGTGCTAATCTGTATCTACAAAGTTTAGAGACATACAGAGTAGTGATGAGTTGTAAGTCTTATTATCTTGAATTTATCCTGTCATTGTGAGCAAAGGAGCTAGAATTAGGAGTAGTTTTTATTATCAAATGAATAGAACACAAGAAATACAAAAACAAACCAAGTTTTGGTCATTTTTTGCAATTCCACCAAGTATACTGATTTTTGTTAATTTTTAGGTTCCCAATTTAATGTATTTATTTGCTCTTTTGCGTCCAAAGAAATTATTATACCAAAAATACTTGTGTGTGTGATGGAGAAATATTAAACACTTATTAAAAGCATAGGGATAAAGCTGATAAAGAACAAAATATAATTTTTTCATTCTCAAAGGTGTAAGGTATTGAGTCTTGAAAGGTTCTGATTTTGTTATTCCGAATGCTTAAAAGCATAGGTATAAAGCTGATAAAGAACAAAATATAATTTTTTCATTCTCAAAGGTGTAAGGTATTGAGTCTTGAAAGGTTCTGATTTTGTTATTCCGAATGCTTTATCAATTAAGCTCATATAACCCTTTTAACTCTAAAGAATGATTAAGAAAGATTTCTCCTAGCAATATCAAAACAATATCAAGAAGATAAGTAATGAGAATCAAAAAAAATTATCAATTAGAGAATTATTGTTTGATCTAATACCAAATTCTCCAAACAAACATCATTAAAATTGTATGGCAGACAGTAAGGAGAATTAATAAAAAGATCCAGGGGTGGGAGAGTTAACTAGGAGAAGTTTTTGGTTTTCAGGTCCTGCATATCCACCAAGCTGCTTTCCAAAGCATATGTAGCTAGGATCAGCTTATCAAAAGTATCTTGTGTGGATCAAGATTCTAGGCAAGAAAGATGGTATGAGCTCTGTGGTCAAATAAAGAAAGATGTTGGAAATATTTGTGACAGGTGACAGAAAGAAATCTGAGCCCACTGTAAGGTTCAGTAGATCATGTTGTAAAACCATGCATCAGTAGAAATCCAGACTCAGTGGGTGGAACACTTACTCAACAGAAACCAGCACAACATTTGCTTTTTTAGCTAACAGCAGGGTGAATAGATGAAACTGATCTGAAACAATAATTCATAAAAACAATTAATACGAAGAACTGATGCAAATTTTTGAGAAGATGAAAAGGGCATGTTTCAAGGCTTAATTTTGTTGGAAATGTGGTGCCCACAGAAAGGATTTAAAGGAGCCATCATGTTGCTAAATTAATCATTTATGTTTATTGTAATATGTTGTGTCCAGGCCTAGTACCTCTCTTTCACCTCTCATTCTCAATTTTTCCAGGCTTCCATTTCCCCTTCTCTTTGTCCTTTCCAATTCAAAAATTTGTTTCCTGATGTTACCAGCAGGCACTGATAAATTACCCTATCAACCCTCTAACTCCCAAGATCTGATCAGTGTTAATTCTCCCCTCTAGCTGCTACACATTTCCTTCATATAATTTATAGGAACTTGGTGTTAGATCAAGATAACTATTTCTACCTGATAAGTCTGGGTATTCTCGTTACCTGTTTGCCGAATAATGTATGGATATTACTAGGAGAAGTTACATGTTATTTGATCACTTCTAGAAATTAAAGGGTTGATATCATGACCTACCAACACTTCCAATAGTAAATCCACCACCATGAAAATAAACCACACCAGTAGTTTTTTTGCCAAGGGTTTTTGGTTTATAAAAACGTACATGGATGTTGGCTATCTTTTCATTCCAAATTTCCAATAATTTTTCTGATTCTTCATCCTTAGGGTGCATCCATGATAACCACTGAAGTCCCCAATTAACATATTCGATCGACTCCCCTTTCCCAAATAAAGAAGCCGTATACCCCTAGAAATAAATAATTAAAAATAAACTTTTTGATCAAGAGCGACGTTTTCAAAGCTTAGGGGCGGAAGCGGGCCAAATGATTTCTCAGTTGCTTGGTCCGTTTTTGCTCTCTGTTTAAAATTGGAGGATTTTTTAGGTCATAGATCGCAACTCAAAAGTAGTTTAACAATATAGATATCGACCATCCTTCTCCGTTTAAAAGTTTCGCAATTTATGATAAACACTCAATGAATTCTAATGTGGCTGTGATCGCTTTATTTATACTTTATGTGTCAGCGTGTAAAAGCTGAAGTCCAGCTAGACTTTTTGTGAATCGACGAGGCCATTCTACCGACCTAGTCCATTCACTGAAAATAATATCAACGACAAGCTAATCGACAGCTGCAAGTGTCCTTACCAGGAAGCGCAGGATATCCATACTAACACCGCTCACTTGTAGACTCGTTAGCTGATCGTCCGGCAATCCCTTAGGAATATCCTGGCTGAGAAACCAGGCCATGATACCAAAAATTTTAACGAAAATCGAAAACAAGTAAGCCATGTTCCTCCTTAAATGTCGCAGTAAGACTTTCCCACCGCGAGGCGCTTTCCAAGAAAGTTAGATCACGTGATCCTATCGTTACAAACAATCAGCACTTAGTTTCATTACTAAATTATTCACGGTTTTCGAGTAGTCCGGTTCGACAGCTGCCGAAATGTATTGTAGTGGGGAATGGGGGTGTGGTTTGCTAAATATAGGAAGGGTCATGGTTGTTGTAGGATCCAAAGGGTGGACGGGGCAGAGTGGGGACGGGACTTCTGAGCTGATGATTACAAAACTTGAAGGTACCAGAAATATAACTAGAATTCTTTAAATCATATATCTGCAAGTTTTTCTTGATTGGAACTGTTTGCCGAAAATGTTACTAGTTCCTGTGAAGTACAAAACAAACGCACTGCTGTGAATACTGATATCAATATTGCAGTGTAGTAGATTGCAAAATCAAACTAGAGTAATTCCCTTGTAATATACAATTTTCACCTGTAAGTAGCACGCGCACAGTTTTACTACGGCCAGAAACTCACCAGTTTCATGGAATTGTAAGTCACTGTTGTACGCTAGCTCTGTTTAAAGGTTAAACTCCTAAACAAAAAGCAAGAAAAATTGTTTTTTTATGTCTTCAATAATTAGATTTATATTTTTAAATGTACATAGCTGCTAACGTAACGGTTGCAAAAGAGTGTCTAAACATGCAATTTCAAAGTGGCATTATCAAGTATTCATTTTTTCGGAGGAGTCTTTGTTACGAGCACTTGGCGTCAAGATTAAAAACAAGGATTGATGGATTTTTCATTCACAAGTTGTTGTCTTAGTTTCGTCGGAGACGCTTTCGTTGGCTTCAGCTTTTTTCCGCTCGTCTCGTTCTTCTTTCGTGAATTCACTTTGGTCCTGGTCACGCTCACGCGTCTTTTCTCGCGGACGATCACGTTCACGATCTCTATCACGATCGCTTCGTCGATCTCTGTCACGGTCTCTGTCACGCTCTCTTCGATCGTCACGATATCGATCGCGCGGTTTATCATCACGGTTCTTTCTACTTTCACGTTCTGCTTCACGATTCTTCTCCTTGGTCCTGGAGTCCTTGCCTCTTTCTTTTTCTAAAAGAAAAAAATCGAAAATCTTTGATATTTCATTTCTTTCGCAAAGTTATGAATTACATGGAAAGTCGAGGAAAAAAATCGGATTGAGAAGTCCTGGTTCGAGATCAAAGCTGAATCAATGTGTTGTGTTCTGCAAGTCATTTCTCTCTTTCAGCGCCTCTCTTTACCCAGGAGTACATATGGGTACCGGTGAATTGTCAGGAAAGCCTGATCAAATTCTGGAGGGGGGGGGGGGGGTGGTGTTAACCTTACGATGGACTAGAATCCCATCTAGGGTGGATTAGTGATACTCCTAGTCGCTTTATGTCGTGGTTACCGGAATAAGCTTTTCTATCTTGTCCGCAAACATTGAAATGTGCAAATTTGCTTGACGAAAGCACATCTTTACCACTCAAGTCTGGGAAGCAATGCTCACAGATCATTCTTTAAGAAAAATTACCTCGTTTCCTGATGAATACTGAAGGAACACTTGTGTTAAATAATCATTGATAATTATTCATTTCTCTGTCTGATCATCATTACTCCAGGTCTGGGACACAATTACCTAATGCTATTTTCCCTTTTCTGGATCCCAAAATTTAATACTCGTCTTTTTTTTTACACTATCTTGAGGAAAACTAATCTCCTCTTGTTGCAACTTTTCGTTAGAGCGCTCTATTCAAAAAAGACATCTGTTGGGGAACTATACTGCGTGACATCCCAAAGAAAGACTACGAAGTAGACAAGAAGCGCAGCAGGTGAAAAACTTCTGATATTTACCAACCTGGTGATTCTGTTCCTTTAGGAGCGTCACTTTTAGAGCCTGCTCCTCGTGAAGCTGATCTTGGCTGATAAATGGCTCGATCAGGACGATCCTAAGATAAAACAGACATAAACTTATCGCTCGTGAACAGAAATAAAAAAAAAATAAGAAAATTACAAATACAACATTTTTTGACGGCCAAGAATCTTACTGCACAGAGTTAATCAGATTTTTTAATGGCAGCATGTCAGGAACAGATTCTTCACTGGTGGTAACTCAATCTTGATTTTCTATATCTTGGCCGAATAACAGAGCCCAAGATAAAAGACTTGGAATGACATCTCACAGGGAACCGTACTAGCACTGGTCTCCTCCAAAGAAGTCACTAACGTTGTTCATGCAAAGTGTGTATTGAAGAGTCATGCGCGAGGTAACGAAAAAAAAGATGGCAGATGACGACCTAAATAAAATTTATGGGCGGGAAAACGTGTGGCCATGCAAAGCAAACTTTAGTGTGATTTAAAAATCTGAAAACTGAAAATCGAATTGCCAATCTGCTAGTTGACGCTTATTTACCTTGTTTCGTAATCGTCTTTGCCTACTCGTCTCCTCTTCGCTTCGCACTTTCTCGTCTTTGGCCGCTCCCTTCTCTTCTTCTCTGGAGGGTTTTGCATCACCAGCTACTGAGCTGTCTTCCTCCTTTCTGTTTTTCTCCGTTTCATTTGCCTTTGATGTGGTTTTTTTCTGTTCCTTCTCTTTCTCCCCACCACTTTTCCCGCCCTTATCAGCATCGCTTGCTTTAGGTAAGGGCTCTCTTCCTTTCGGCTTATCTTCGGGTTCTCGAGCTGGTCGCGAATCCCGTCGACTCTCTGGTCTTCGATCGCGTCGCCCGCTTCCGTCACTCCCGCTTTCTTTTCGGGAGCGATCGTCACGTACTCGATCGCTTCCGGAACTATCACCAGTATCTCTTCGGTCTCTACGATTGCTATTTCGTCTGTCTTCTGGTCGTCTTTCGTCGGAGCGTCGGCTGTCGGACCTCCTTCCGAATCTTCCTGATTCAGGTCGACCCTGAGGAAATCAATAAAAATTATGGAATTCACATATGACATGTAACTTTTTTACAAGATAACGAGAAAAAGAATCTCAGATGCAACCAACCTTTTCCTCTTTTCCTTTCGCAGGAGATTTTGAATCAGACTTCTCTTTGGAAGACAATGATGCCTGTTTCAAAACAAAAATAGCAAACCTTTGGTGTAATGAAAATATCAGGCAGTCAAGTACTCACATTTAAAAACATGCACTCAGTATTATCTCCTAACGATAGCCCGCTCACAGGTTTTAGCGGTGCTTAACGCGTCCCCGGGAGGTTTTCGGCGATTGCCAGCCATGAAATCGTTTACTTAAAAAGACCCGGTTAGGCACATTGTAGCTAACAAGTCTCTTAACTGTACCTGGAAGCACGCGCGTGCGAGAGAGAAAAAGATGAGTTATGAAGGGGATGAATGGGAGGCGGAATAGAAAGGAAAGCCTCTTTTTTTCCCTTCCAATCCATCAACGGAAGTTTGTCTCACAGAAGACTTGGTACAAGTTAGACGATGGAGACCCCTAGTCAAACCAAGGACACCCTAGACAAAATTTATACTCGTTTTATAATTTTCAGTAGGAGGACTCTGTGCTTTTAACGAGCACTGTCATTACCTTTGTGTCTTTGCTGCCTTTTCTATCCTGCTCATCTTTTTTTCGAGTTCCTTCTTTGGCATTTGCATCTTTCCTGCTGGATAAAACATTGGAAAAATCAAACTGGTGATTTTGAAAAGTTTCACTTGAGACAATATCATCTCATGGATAAAGATTCTGTCGATAGGTAACAGCCATTAAAATAAAAGACGACACCGGAAAACTTTGTAAACTAATGTAAAACTGAAGATTTAGATATATGAAAATTCACATATTTGCACTGCGGTGGAAAGATGAAATTAGAAGATCCTCGCAGCTAAGAACACTACTGAAACTAGTAGTTGTAAGTAGGACCTGAAAAAAATTTCAGGCCCGTACGGGATTTGAACCCATGACCTCTGCACACCCTAATGTAAAACTCTTTGCACACTACTGTTTTTTTTTTGTTTTGTTTTTTTTAATTTTTTTTTATTTTCATTCGCACCTACTAAGGATAACAAGAAAAGCCAGCCAAGTGCTGGATAAATAAACGGTTAAATACTCTCCGGAATGGATAAATTGGGGGAAAAAGAAACTTAAGTCTGCTGTTTAGCCAAGAAGCCCATACCACTGATGATTATCCTTTATTTTTAGTTTCCTGCTCTTCTCAAGAACATAGTGACCTGCACCTCCCTACCCAGAGTTCCGCGCGCTAACCATTCGGTCTCTGCGTGTGCTACTATTTCAGTAATGCTTTCTTTTTTCATAAAAATTAAGTTTAATTGTCATACTCGTCTTTAGGCTTTTCCTCCTTTGGCGGATGGCTGCCACTTTTACCACCAGAATCTTTGCTGGAAGACAAATTCGACGATTTCTTCGGCGACTGGTTAAAATAATAAAATACGCGAGTAAACAGAAGAGAAGCAACAGTAATTTTATGACAAATCTGTTAACCAGTGCTACTAATGTATGCACAGCGCGTCGCAATTGCAGAAGGAGGGCAACAGCGTGAGAGCAAATTGTCTACTTTCCGAATAGGATTTGCACTGATAATTAGACTTACTTTCACCCGCTGGACAGGCGCAGTATCTAAGGCGAGCGGAGACAAACATGGCGAAACGCGATGATCGAGACACGCGACATGTGTTCTGCGTGTCTCGCATGGGAAGACTGTATGATGCTTCAGTTAAAATAATTATAGTGCAGGACAGGACAATTCTACGGGAAGGGACTGTATGGCGGGAGATGACTAAGCTGCTAACCAAGATAGGAAGGCCATAGGACGCTCTAATGCTGTTCAGGATGGGGATAGGAGAAGGATAATGCAGAACATTTATGCGAGACAGGACGAGATTGCCGATGGAACCACAAACGAAATGATACAACTCCAATTCTGTAGGTATTGATAGTTGAAACAAACGACGAGGGAAGATTTGTGGGAATTGTAACCATTTTTAGAACCTCACTTGGGTTGTTAGTTTACTGAACACCAACTAAGTGCAGATGGTCAAACTCTTCCTTCCATCATTTCCTTTCCTAGTTGTAGAAAACCACGTCATACAGCTTATCTCACAAGTACGTAAACTTAACAACACATGACATCTAATACAATAGCTAACGCAAGACAAAACAAGACAACGACAGTGAAATGTTACCTTCGGTAGTTCCTCTCGGTCGGCCCTTCTCTTCTTGTCAGAAATATTCCGCTGTGATCAGAAGAAAAGGCAGAGGAGATCATAAGATTTAAAATAGACCATATATAAAGTAGAAAGAAGTACGGAGGGTTCTCTGTCAAGCATTCAGAATTTCAGGTACGAGTAGCCGGGGAAGAATCCAGCCGCCGAGTCTTCTGGAAAACACTGAATACAAGCTTCAAGCACCAGTGTTTCAAGTCCAATTCATAGACTTTGTTTGAAAGGAGAGAGAGGAATGGAGATGCATTAGAGAGTGGGAGCCTGTCAGGTAGAAACTTGTCACTTAGGGTAGAGGGTTGGGGATTTACTGTACAGCCTGGTGTACAAGCTCTTGGATACATGAGCTTGCAAGCTTGTCTTAATTTTCTTGCACATTTCATTGTACTTACAGATGACAAAGGCCTTCCACGAGGACTTCTCTTCATCTTCAAGTACTCCAGTAGTGGTGTGCTCTTTTTTGCTGCACTGGATGAAGCTAGTGATAAGAGAGATTCCACATTTATGCAACTTAATTAATCCCAAATTTCCATTTTCAAGATGACAAGTATAAGTATGTAAAGAATTGAGTACTTGGTGAAACCCCACATACATACAAACAATTAAATCTCTAAATTCTTTCTTAAAGATGTCTATAAAAAGTCTATGTATATGATGAATCTTGTAATAAGTAAAATTTCACATACATACAATTTATTCATTCTCTAAATTCTTCATTTACGATGACAATTAAAACACTGTTAATACATTTCTTAGCTTCAATCTCCTCCAAATGAGCCTCAACACTTGGGGGAGGCTCCTCATCTTTGTTCAGTGATTCCAGGAAAGCCTTGTAGTCAGGATCTGATGATGATATAAAAAATGAAAGGAAATTAAATAAAATCATCAAAATCGTCTGTCATTTTAGCAACTTATAGCCATGCATAATGCCTCCGAAGTACTCCAACTTTGGACTGCTCTTGTGCCATACTAGCTCTTTTCTAATGCTCCATCTCAACGAAATTTGGGTCCTAAACCTTTCCTTTACCCATCTGGTGTCCAAAACACAGCTTCTTTTTAGATGTTACCCTTGTCCTAGCCTTGTCCTAGCCTTACCCAATGCCATTTCCTTCTGGGCCAAGTTGTATAAAGGGCAGATAATGCAATCCAACAGATAAATTACAATCCAGTGCAAAAGTGAAGGCAAAATGTACTGCATTATCTACTGCATAGACATTTATCCAGTGGATAGCATTATCTGTCCTTCAAACAACAGGGGCCTGGTCTATTAAAACCTGATCTCATAGTCAAAGACTGCCTAGTATCTAATTTCTCCTGACAATATCACCCCTGGATCAAACATTAAGTTCATGAGAACAGAGGGAATGATCACCAACTTAACAAGCTCCCAATTGTTAAACAAATTCTCTTTGCCAGCACCTTAGGAACTGTATGGAAAAAAGTATGGAGAATATGCATACTGATGTTAGGGTGTAGAGGGTGTAGCATTTGAGATTGTCTGTGGCTATCTCACTTGCAGGATAATTCAGAGACATATCCTGACCTTCTTAGCTAGCGATATTGGTAATGACTTTCCCAATGGTTTACATTGGATTTGTGAAGAGATCAGTTATGCATGTCTAGTATCCCAAAGGGAAATGAAAAAAATCTTGTACGCACCTTCCAAAATAGTTCCAATCTTTGGATCTTTTTTTACTTTCTTTTTAGGTACAGCTTGGTAAGGAGCATATTCCACAACAGCAGGATATTCTACACCTGATGTTAAAGAAAAAGACTAGTGGCATCAATAGAAAAAAAGCCTCTTGATACTTAATGACTATTGGAACAACTGTTCAAAGATAGGGATTTGAGCATGAGCATCAAGAACTAAAATTAAAAAAAAAGAATGTTTTCACCTAAATTTTTTTTATTTTAGGAATGCATGATAGGCAGCCTGAGTGACTTATCTCACTGACAGAGAAACTCATGAGTGCATGACGGATTGTTTACGGAACTTGAATGACTGCCTGATGAAGTGATTGAAAGTGTGACTAACTAAGCCACAGTCTCAGAAACACATGGGAAAAAAGATAGGTAAAAGACTGATCCACAGAAGAAAGAAATAACAACAGAAAGACTGAGAGAAAGACTTACAGAACAATCACAAGGTTTTTTTTGAACAGGCTAGTGTAACAAAGAGCTTGACACACTGAAACAGTATGATAGGTTAAAGGATGTTGACTGGCTGCTTATTCAGTTATTTATCAATACCAGTCAAAATAATAATTTAAAAAAACCACCAAGATACTATTCCTAAGCATACCTCTGCTGTCCACAAAGCAGTACCCATCAAATTGATCTCTAAACTTGATTATATCATCCCTATTTTTAAAGTTGATGTATGCTCTTGAAAAAGAAACAGGACCAAAGCTGTAAACAGAAAGTAAAGAAAACAATTATTAAAATTGACACAAAACAGAAAAGATGTTGTCCCCTATCGTAAATAAGATATTTTTTTCCATAGGAAAAGGGGAGAGAAGGAAATAAAATATTAAGAGGGGGATTGTCAAAAAATTTAAGCTCTGGCTTGGGGGCATAAGGTTGGAGGGGAAAGTTTGTTAGCAGGAGCATTTCTGAAGAAGCTCACTTTATAAATTGCTAGGTTGGGATAAGCCGGATTACAACTGAATTCCACCTAGGAGAAGTAGGAATACTACAAGCGACTTAATGTTGTGGAAGCCGAGATACATTTTATGCTCTGGAGTCTATCTTAAGCCTCTTAACTGATAGTGATGTCTTTCCCCTACCAGTACCGTATTAACCAAATTAAGATCAGCTTACCTCATGCTACTGCCAACAAAATAGAAAAAGTCATGTTCAGGAAACTCTCCAAGTTCTTCTTTCAATTGCTCTTCGGTAAACGATGGAGGGAGACGACGGATTATAACCTGAAAAAAGGTTTTTCAGTACTATTTTGTACGTAGATCAAGGCAAGGCAAGAGATTATCACTTGAACAGTGGTGTTTGGCTTTTGCGAGCAATATTTTAGCTTTGAGATATTTCAAAAAGCAACATACACGTGCATAATGGAACATTTTATGCAGCTTAGAAAAAGGCAAGGCAGAAATCTAAGTCTTGAGATGTAAAATTGGCAAATGTTTTCATTTGGGACATGACATTAAACTGCATTGAAAGTATTTCTACTACAGTACCTTAGTAGGGGAATATATTTTTTCTCTCTTGGTTTTGGGTGCACTAGGTGCTTTTTCGACTTCACTTTTTCCCATTTTCCACACAACCGTTAGAATTCAGTGCTGCTTCATCATCCGGTCCGCTGCCATCTTTGTTTTGAACGGTGCTCAATGCCTTGCGTTTAGGGTAAAACTCAATTTTGCAAACATGACATAGAGTTATGCCCACGCAATTCCGCTGACCTAGCGATATTGCAGGTTCCTCGCATCCTCTCACATCCTCACATGACTTCCTCGCGAGAACTCATGCAGTTTGACTGTCACGAGAATTCACGTAGTTACGAAAAGTTTTTAATCAGAACTGATGGAAAAGAACGTCAAGATGAAGAAGAAGGTATTTTTCTGATATTTTATGTATTTTTATTATCAGATAATTGCGCCTATATATGCTACTAATGGGAAAATCTTGTGACTTACTTATCATCGTGCATGTTACATCTTGCGAATTTTTCTTGAAGGTTCTTCTTATGGGTAAAAGTGGCTCAGGAAAAACGAGCATGAGGTCGATAATATTTGCAAACTACATTGCAAGAGACACAAGAAGACTTGGAGCGACAAGTAAGTATTTTATCTTTCGCTCTGACGGAGGGTTAACGATCCAAACGTCAGCTTCAGAAACCTTCTACGAAGGCAATTTATTATAAATATATGTATATGTATTTATACATTACCAATTCCGTTGATAAAACCAAATCATCCAAGTATCTAACTGTTGTTAACAGTTTACTTTTTGTACCCGCACTTTGAGGCTCTTTATCTTTATTTTGTAAAGTTAACATCACTTCAGAATTTTTCTCTCGTGTGAAATTGCAGGGCCTCTTACTTTCCATTCTGACGAGTAATTTTAATTTTTTTCTATTTTCAGTTGACGTGGAGCATTCTCATGTTCGTTTTCTTGGAAATTTGGTTCTCAATCTTTGGGATTGTGGAGGGTAATTTGACCATTAAGTTTACCGTCATTTTAGGATGTAGTTGTTGTGAATTGTAACATATTTTGACCAATATTCTCATTATTTTCAGTGTAGTAACTGAACTAATTAGAAATATTTTTTATTGTAATTAGTAGCTGGACAATTGGCTGATACAGGCAACCATTTTTTTTTGTAGTTAATTTGTTAACCTCTAATCACACTTTCTAATTAAGCAGTAGACCGCACTTTCTATATGTTTACCAGCTTAATAACCCATGTAGGATGTTAGGAGAACATAGGAAAAGTTTGTAATTCACAAGCCAGAGGTGAGTGACTTGCAAACTTTTTGGGTGTTCTCCGAACATTCCAAGTTGGTTATTACAACAATAGATTGATAGAATGTTGGGTCTATCTAGAGTTAGGATGTTTCAATTTCCTATGGGTTTACTATTGCAATAAACAAGAGGTTTTTGACCAATCAGGGTGCTCCTAATATTTCAGTTATTTTGTAAACCTCTATAAGAAAGAATCTGAAAGATTATAGAGATAAGATAACTCTGGCCTTCCATTAATACCAGGGGGGGCTGATATATTGACTCTCTTCCAATCTTCATAAAAAATGGAGTAGTAGCAATTGTGTTATTTTCACTTCCCAGACAAGAGGCATTTATGGAGAATTATTTCACAAGTCAGAGGGACAACATTTTTAGAAATGTTGAAGTTCTAATTTATGTGTTTGATGTGGAAAGTCGTGAACTTGAGAAAGATATGCACTATTACCAGACTTGCCTAGAGGCCATTCTTCAGAATTCACCTGATGCCAAGATATTTTGCCTTATTCACAAAATGGATTTGGTACAAGAAGATCAGAGAGATGCAGTGAGTACATTTGCAGCCTAATAAGATAGCAATAGAGACATTGACTTCATAATTTAAGCTTTCATGCAGTCTTGAAAAAAAAAAAAAGTCACTCAACATATTTTTATGGGGCTAAATATGATCTCTTCTTTGTTGTACAATGAAGCCTTCACAATGTCACCAGATGGCAATTTTTCCCTACTGCAAATCTGTAATCATGAAAACAGGTGGTGAGATATGTGGGCGAGATCACAAATTTAAAGGGCCCCTAGATGGAGCAAAAGGAACATAGTAGCTCTGATGAATTTGGACAGAAGGTACTAAAAATTTAGCTTTGCAAAACACAGGTTGGGTTGTGAAAATGTCTCCAAAAGACACGATTTTTTTTTTTTTTTCAGATTTTTAGAGAGCGGGAAGAAGACCTCAAAAGGCTCTCAAAGCCACTGGAATGTACATGTTTCCGTACATCAATTTGGGATGAAACTCTTTACAAGGCTTGGTCATCCATTGTCTATCAGCTGATACCAAATGTGACACAACTGGAACAGAATCTGGAGAACTTTGCTTCAATCATTGAAGCAGATGAAGTCCTTTTGTTTGAGAGGGCCACATTTCTGGTAGGTATTTAATTAAAGTAGAATGTGTCCACTGATGTTAGGAAGTGAAGGGTTAACACCTGGAAGCCTGATCCTGCTTTAGCATCCCCTGATATACCAAATACCTACATTGTAGTTTTTATTGAAATGGGCTGCTAATCTACAATAGTCTTTCAACATTGGCATTTTTTCAATTTTCCTGACAGTCCACTGATAGCTTTTTACACTACAGGCTTTATTAGATACTTTACTATTTTCTCACTGTAGAAAACAACACAAGGACCTAGCCAAGTCTTAACCCTTTAACTCCCAGATCAAATTTATAATTCTCCTAAATATCAACCATACAATTCTCATAATGTTAGTTCAGAGAACTTAGTATTGGATCAACTAATTATCCTCAAATTGATATTTTTCTTTATTCTCAACACTTATCTGGTTGATATTGTATTGATATTGTAAGGAGAAATTTTGTCTTGGTCACTCATGGGAGTTAAAGGGTTAAACAGTGGACTCTTGATCTAGAGTTGATCTTTCTAACCAATCAGCTATCAAATCTGTCAACTATTCAATAGCTTTAAACCCTTTAACTCGCATGGGTGACTGAGACAGAATTTCTCTTTACAATATCAATACAGTATCAAGCAGACAAGTAATGAGAATAAATAAGTGTATCAACAAGGGGATTATTAGTTGATCCAATGCCAAATTCTTGGAACTAACATAGTGACTATTATATGGCTAACGAGATCTTAAGAATTAAAGGGTTATTTGTAAATTGTTAACGGTAGATTTAACTTAGTTTGAGTTTGTTGTTGTGACCCTCTTTGTAAACAACATTTGAATGACACTTAGTGTTCATTTTTCAGGTTATTTCTTATTGTCAACGCAAGTCCCATAAGGATGTACACAGATTTGAAAAAATTAGTAACATTATCAAACAGTTCAAGTTAAGCTGTAGGTAAGTTGAGTCCTGTTGAGGAAGGTCAAGTTTTCCAGTGTAATGGACTTGGATGCTTTATCGCATCACTACTGAGCTTATGCTCCAGTTTTAACTGCTTGAAGCCCCCTGTATTGTGTAACACGGATAATCAATCTTGACCTTCCACTCTTAATTTTCTCCATAGTAAACTGCATGCCCATTTTCAGAGCATGGAGGTGCGCAATTCTACATTTGCTGCATTTATTGATGTCTTTACACCAAACACATATGTGATGGTTATCATGTCTGACAACACAATCCGTAAGTATATGTACAATGAACTTTCTCATAGGTGACACCTATGTGCAACTAGCTCATCCTTGGAGTTGGTTCCTGATACAGGAATTGCTCTACTTTTTACATTTCAAACTCCCCTATTTACAGCAATACTATAACCAACAGACCAGACAGAAAAAACCTTTTTACAACCTGTATGTAACTGTTAAGTACCATTGTGAAGGGAATAAAAAATCTCTTGAGTTGACACTGACCAATTTGCTTCCACAAACCTGGCTTAGAGCATTCAACTGAAAAACAGGTTGTTAAAAAGGGCTATCAATCTTAATAGCTTGTACACTAAAGAAACAAATCTTCAAGTCATTTATTAAACATAGCCCTCTCTAAAGTATTTACATCTTCAGATTCCAGAGAAATATGAATATGCTATGAATTTGATTCTATAATGAGTGAATTTTCAACATCTGCTTGAAGTGTAAATTCTTCTCTCTCTTAGCATCTGCTGCTACACAGATTAATATTCGCAATGCAAGGAAGCACTTTGAGAGGCTAGAAAAGGTTTCCAGTAATGGGCAGCATTCCCTGAAAGGGAGATAGATAACAAAGAATGATGTACATCTTGAAAACAAACAATATATATTGCCAAATCAGCCAGAGATGTTGTAAAATATAGCTATTCCATGTTAAGAGGAATGGTTAGCTGTTTTGTATCTTGTATTATGTAGTTGTATTCCCTGTGATTGCCATGTTATTAATAATAATTAATTACATTTTTGTGCAATGACATACCATCTGCTCAGGAAATAGTGTCCCGCATGGTGATACAATGATAGTATACTACTGAGCCAGATAGTCAGTCAGATAATGAAAATAATAATGATGAAAAGGTTCAGTACAACTGAAAAAAGCCTTTAAGAGTCTCTTGGTTTGCCATCCATAAACAGAAAGAAGGAGCAATATAAGAACAAGAACAAAAATGTATTGAGCCATGATTAATAAACCTTCAAGAGCAGGCCTGCAAGTCGAGTTCCAGCCTTTCTCATCCTGAACAGTCTTGTCTGGTAAGGATGACGATCACTGGCAGAACTTGTTCTTAATTAACAGGTTGTGAGAGACTTTAAATTGATATTTGCTCAGTTTTTTTTTAGCGTGGCTTAATATCCATTGGAAAAAATTATGCTGTGCCTTACTCATTATTACTGGTTTAAATAATTTTTTGTGTTAATTGTCATTATCAATCCAAGTTTATTCCACTTAAATTAATTTGCTTTCTACACATATGACCTGATATATTTTTCTTAAAGGTGACTCATTGATTGCCAAATGCCCGTGTGATAGTCTAGTGTTACTTTATTGATGTAGGTCTAGCCTATATTTGAGGTATTTGAAACCACTCCTGGAAAGAAACTGAGTATGTTCAGAATAATGTGAGCTGGAGTTGAAATTGAGTCTTAAAAAAAAACAATTGCACACTGCGTCTGCGTTTCTTATTAGTGATAAGAAGACTAGTTACTACAAGAAGCAAACAGATGATTGAGTGCAGGCGATAAAAGACACCACGACGTGCCAGCGCTCGAAGCTTGATCTGTTACCGCCAAAAATCATATTGACTTAATTCATTGTGAATTCGTAACTTTTCACTTTCCATCGCATTTTTATTTATATTTGTTCTTTTGTTTTCACGCGCATTACTTCATCGATAATCCACTACTTTGTTTTTACATCATTTCCCTAAGTTCTATACCATAAATTTCATTCATTCGGCTATCTCGTTTAACTGTTCTGATTCATTTTTCAAAATCGCTTTAAATCGTTCTCTATCGTCTGTAACCAGCCATTTGTTCCCGGACCTCCTATAGCGTTTGGAAGTGTCTTTAGTAAATCTTTACTTTGTTTTCTCGTTTGCCAATTTCTTTACGTATAAATTTAGTAACTTATTATTTGTAACCTTGTTTTAGCAACCGCTTCAATTGTTCACTTCGCTTCGAATCTTCACGTCGTCTCGTTTTGTTTGGAAGTACATTAAAGCGTGTTTTCGTTTAGATATGTACGAGTATCTTTGGTCATCGTATCAGCTTGTGAAACTCTTTACGGTGGCCAATTTACGCAGTATGACGGTCTCTTAGGAAACTTCCCCCCTTTAATCATGATAAGTCAATCTGGTTGACATTTTTATTGCTTACAGTGACCTTCCGACCAATACCTTGATTTTGAGAATAGATTGAAGCTGTAATAGAAACAAAAAATGCGTTTTTATTTCCGTTTATGCCTTTTATTAGATAAAGGACTCTGAGATGGTTTCACAGATGAGTTTCTTTTAAAAAGGTGATTTTGTCTCTTGATCCTGCCTTGAGAAAAACGTAACACCTTTGCCAACAACATTTACAACTCCTCATCAGGAATTTGAACATAAAAGAGTAAATACTGTGACCTTTCTTGGATTAATTATTTTTGAAACTAGTTTTGCTGACCGATTGAAAAATGTGCGCCAATTATTTGGACACGAATGAGGCGAATACACCATATCGAGGCTTACTGGTAACTTCTTGGGAAAGACCACGAACCGCTTTTTAAAACTTTCTTTTTACGACGCCCCACTGCAGAACTGATATAACTAGAAGAAAAACGAAAACGGTAAAGCCGCTGTTTTTAAACTTTTCTCGGGGAGTTTTCTGGTAAGCTCGACTCAATATACCCGACCCTCACCAAAACTAATGGCTCACAGTCAAACAAATGACACGTCTTGTTAACATTTAAGGTCCGCCCCACATTTCCCACAAAATCGGTCACCTGATCGAGATTTTGTACCACAACGAAAACAAACCGAGATTTCGTTCTCCAAAAAGTTGTTCTCTCTAGAAAGCGGAGGCGAACCTCGATAAGGCGGCAAAAATGCTGGCCCAATGAGGCCGTTGTGCGCATGATATCCATTCAGTTCTCTTTCTTCATGCTCGTTTCTTTGAGTTTGTAACGAACGGCTTCGTATCATGGGAGGTAACCTCAGTCCACCATGAGCCTGCGCTCCCATTGAGGTCAGTGGGTGCGCCGTAGTCTTGGTAGCACCGTTGAATGACGTAAGAGGTAAAGAGAGAGGCACGCCTGGAAGCAGAGTTTGTTTAACTCCCGTGAACGGAATGTTGGAAAAACTAGAAGGCAAAGGGGCAGAGGGAAGGCAGGACGAGGCTGGCTCCGTAAAGTCGATGGAATGACTCTTGCCAGCTAGAATACATTCGATCGCTTGTACCAAATCACCACTGCAGCCTTTCAGAACGAGTTCCAATACGTTTTCTTTGTGTGAAGGAAATATTTTGCTGAGAACTTCGACAGGATGGGGAGGTTTCCGTCTTTTGAAGGCAGATTCACCAAGACTCTTTTGAAGAAGCTTCACGGTGTAGTCGAAATCATCTTGGTCTCGGAAAGTAGAGCTCCATGGCAACTGAAACGAAGAGTTATCGTTCTCCCTGATCACATGATCTGCTTGTGGTCGACAGCTTTCATGCACGTGAAAGCGAGGTGACGGGGAGCGAGAAACATTCCCGTTTGTAAGCTGCGGTGAGGCGCTTCTTGCCAATCTTTTGGGAGGAGGTTCATCACCTCGGTCGTCTGCGGGAAGAGTGTCATTGCTGGAATACTCCGGATCAATTTTTTCTTCTTTAATGAACACTGGCTGTTGTGAGTTTTTCTCTGTAAGATGAATCATGGAAGAGAAGTTAGGATTCACAATTTGATTAACAAAACCCTAACCTTTTCACTTTCAATCAAAGTAACTGAATTATTTGCACCGTCTGCCAAACATTTCAATTGAAGACAAACTCGTTAAACAGACAAACCGAAAAATGTATGTCAGTAGAACTTTCTGTTGTCTTTTCACATCTCTCTCCTTCAGTAAAAGTGAGTGGAAATAATAGGCGGACATTTCCTCTTTACGTCAGACAAAATCAATTTAAAAGCGCTGTCAGCACAAGAATTAGAACGAATCGTTTAGCACAAATTATCGAACCATACCGGTACCACTGAATAATTTCTAATAGGTACCAACCTCCCTTTAGGAAAAAGTAGCGTTCAAATTCAACATACGAGCAAGCAGTTATACAATTTATCAGAGAAGTAATTAATTTTGATAAAAAGTCTAGATATTTTTGTACTCGCTCAAGTGGGCAACAGGTGGTTTGATTGTTTGTGCAGTTTGTGCAGTTCATTAAACTAAATGATAAATACTTTCGGAAACATACGATCAAATGAACTATTCGAGAATGAATAGAAATTACCTATTTATAACAAATTTCCCAAAGAGAATAACCACATGTATTACTGTTTCTTTACTACAGTCCATTTCCTTCAATTACAAAATTCGTTTTTTTCTCTCTACTTAAATATAGCACTTAAACTCTACGCAATTGACATGTGCATTAAATTAAATCTTATGAGACACCTCTGACAAGAAAAAACTAATTCGAATGTTTTTTATCTTCTTGGTATGTTCCTTTCTCCTCTTTCAATGATGATGTAATTTAAAATTTGTTTTAGTGCTGTACACTTAGAAAAGTTGGGCTTAGAATTACCGTCAACGCGAAACAAAAAGATCGATAGAAATGGTTTTATAGACAACTCACTGTTAAGATTACACAACACTTTCACCGAGACAAAAAATTTTTTTTTTTTAGTTGATTTCAACCGCAGCTGATCTTTTGTTCTTTCAAATCGTCTTCCGTTTTAGAGTTTGTTTCACGCCTGATGACACCTGGAAATCACATACTAATTTTTTCAAATCACGTACCATTTTTTAAATGGCTAACTTTGTATTGACATACTATACAAAAAAGAAGCATCATAACTATCTTTTTATTACCTTCAGTTACAGGGCAAGAAGCTGGTCGTGTTGGTTCGGATGGAGGACTGGCGGAGAAAACCGAGTTCACTCTCGGCGTGAACGAAGGGAATACTACTTCGTGATCCGCGCCTCCATGCGTAAATTCAACGCATGGTCCACAGCCTTTAGACTCGAACGGTTCCATTCTGGTTTGATGGCGCAGAAGGGCCACCCTAGCGGCGGTAATTCTCTGTCTCTCTGCTATTAACAGGCACTTGGGGCAAACACAGTCCCTCCATTTACAATAATGTTTGTGACCTTTCAGCGAAGACACCACTCCATGATTCCGGCAGCGGGCGCATTTTGGCGCGCGTAGGGTACTGTTGGATGGGGCATTCTCAGATACAGCGCTCATGGCAATTTCAAAAGATTTTCTCGTCGAGTTTGACCTAAGAGATGAAACAAAACTCAATACTACAGCTTCTCCACGTGATGGATGCTCTAGTCCTCTGCGATTAAAGCAAAATTGGTCTCAGATAGAAAGACCACTGTTTAAATGTCTCTGACTAATTAACAGGGATGTTTGCTAAGAAAAACGAGCCATCTCATTGGCTTGTCGCTGTTCAATTATTCAATACTATTGTTAGTTCGCTCGCAAGTGATACTTAGTCCTTAAAAACTGTACAAAGTATAAATACACAAAATGGCAACCCACAAAACTTTGAAGCGATGGGGAAAATTTATCCTGACTTTAAGGACTTTCGGAAGTACTTCTTTATTCGATTCAGAGAGGGTGATCCCGCCTCAAGTCAAAGCCCTCTGTTGTCATTCTCTTAGACAAGTTTGTTCTCGCTCTTTTAACAGCAGTATAAAAGTAACATAATTTATGTATGAATTTTATTCACCTCGAAGATTTTTTTTCATCACCACAAGCCAGAAAAATCTCGAACAGAACAAAATAAAATGGAGAAATCGTGAAACTAACATGGAAAGTTTTGATTTTTTTCAATTCAGATGCGTTTATTTGTAGACAGATGTGTGGTAATACTTCAAAACTTAACCAACCATTTCACCATGTACCAGGCCAAACAAAAGAATTGACAAGCAATGAAACTAAAAACTTCTCACCTCGAGGAATGCATTTCCTGATATTTTAAGATTTTACGAGAGTCCAGCGGAATAAATTTCGTGACTTACTCCTTCAAAACCGTGACCCAAATGTATTTCAAAAGGGTTCTTTCGCGAAGACTAAGAATTCATACGAGGATTGTCGTAGCTTTAGCAGAGTTGTTAGCTTTGTCAGTGTACGTGATTAAAATTAATAACCATTTTAAACATGGTATTTACACTTTTCGAGTAGCAACTGTTCACCTTTTCCGGAGCACTCGTTTGTTTTGCTTATTACAAGGCGGCGAAATATTTTTATGACATTTTTTCTTTTGTTGACTTAAGCATGTCCGCGGCCCGTGAATTGGTTTCTTCGCCACAATCGGAAATGTATACATTTCGGTAAATACATTAACACTGCCATTACACTGAATAAACAGATGTTAGCTCTGAACCAAACCAGTTTTTTTAAAATTTCTTTTTCCAAGTTTGCATAGTATTATATTTTATGGCCGAATTGTCAGTCAGACTTCAAAGACTGCCTACCCCATTATACTTCTCAAAAATTGACGTGGTCGTAAGATCGCACATGACATAGCCATGTGCTTTTAATATTTATCATTTTCATTTTTCAAGCTGATCTCTTCCTTAACATAGAATTTTCAGTACTTTGACGAATCTAAGTATGAAGTAAAAGAAATTCGATACCACCCATGGTTTTTGCGTAAATATGAAAATAACAGTAGGTATTTTTTGCTTGCTAACACATTCTAACCGATACCAGTTCGGGACGTTTTAATATTTCATGTGAGAGAGCGGAAGATTATGCTTTCCCTCTGTGAACCAGACAGACTGTAAAATATAACAGAAACACAAATTGATAAATGAACATCGGATTTCGGATTCAAGGCAATTCTTTGCGAACACTTGACAATTTAAAACTCATTTATTAAAGTTCGCTTCAATTCATTGTTGAAGTTTCATACATTTAAAAATCTAGTTCATTTACAGTGGTTTTATTGTCTTTACGCCGATGACATGTTATTTCACCAATTGACTTTTAAGGACTTCACACAATCTTTCATTAGATCTCCTAAAGTCCGCAGTTTTTCCCTACTTTTTGAGGTTAAAATCTATTAGTCATAATATTCAAGTTATTTTCAATAAACGCGCCTTTAAAATATTTGTATGAATTACTCCGTTAATCAGGCGCTCAGACACAAAAAAGTTAACAAGTGATTATTTTTCCTGTTTTTCGGCGAATCTACCAAAGCAGTGCACTCAGCCTTTACAATAACATTCTAAAAACAGAACCCAAAAATCGCAATATAAACAAATTCTTTATTGATGTAAAAAAAGCATTCGACTGAAACATTCTTACTAACTTCAGTTCAGCTATACCAGCGGGTTACTTGCAGGTGGTGGCGATAAATATTTACCTTACTATTACCTCTAATTAGGATACTCTGCAAAATGTAACCTTAGAAGACCGCCCTAAACTGAAAAATATATAAAAAAGAAAAAAAAAGGCATAACGTTTTCGATACTTACTGCGTCAAGGAAGCATCATACGTCGTGTAAGGTACATGAACATTCGCTCGATCGTTTGTTGGAAGACGAGCTAAATTTGAGTTGGCGTTGTTACACTCGAGGAAAAATAAATCATCCGACTAGCATTCCTGCAGTTTGAGGATTCAGGAATTGTCTCTTAAAAGACTCCTAAGTGAAGAAGCATTGCGAGATGGAACCGCAGAATTGATTTTTTTCAAGAGTTGAAAATACTAGAACCGACCAAATGCTGTTCCATAATTGATATCATCCTCTTCCAACGAACGCTTTTTCTTTGTTCACCACAAAATACCTGTTCTGAGCATTGCACCTTTATGCTCTTCGTGCTTGTTTTTTTTTTCTTTTTCTTTTTTTTTTTTTCAAAATAAGGACTTCACGTGGTGTTATTTAATACTTTAACAAAACTCTTAGTTAGTACCAGTTTAACGTTTGCCCCCCCAAAAAAAATATTTTGAAAGAACCTTTGCCTTTGTAAGGGCTCCCCATTTTCTTAATGAAGAGCAGAAGCCTAAGGAATAGCCCGTGGGAATTCTACCCAAGAGCTTTGTGCTTTGATCTTGGGTAAAGCACTTAAACAATCTCTTGTCACCCGCCCGCTTTTGTGCGGAAATGTTTTTGTCAGGATTTCATTACAAAGGTTCTTTTGGAAGAAAGCTAGTTGAAATTGAAAGACCTTCAATCTTAAGTACTTCATCATATCAAATAGAAATGTGATCCCACCAGTGCCACAGATACTAACGGTAAAGCCAACAGAACTAGGAATAAGCTGTAATCATACAAGCTCTATGCTAGCGACTTGAAAGCTTTTTCCCTATAGCCACCTAGAAAAAGCCTTTCTATAGTGTTCTTACTGTGCTCATTCCCTCCAAGATTGTTATTCCACCATCACTCCAATTACCATATTGGGGTAACGAAACGCGCAAAATTTGCCACGGTATTACAATAGAACGGAGCCAAATTCGGATGGGAAGTGGAACGCACTGGACGATCCAAACAACTACTTTCTCGTTTTAGTTGGGCTAGCAATTTTTAAGCAACGAGCTTTTAAGTGTACCAGTTTGTTTCGTTGGTCATAAAAAAGCGGACTTACATGGTTTGGTTTGTAATATTACCGTCTTTTACGCACGCCGTATGCGATCGCTATAATACTCAGATAAGTCAGAAATTATTTAGAAACTAGAAGCCAAAAATACTAGGAAACGAATAGTGGATAAAATCCCTTATTCGATGGTTTAACATATAACAAGGTCCAACAGTTTGCTTATCGCATGGACTTTTCTCGCCCCTTGAGGGGCTCGGATAAATACGACGCAATTCGCCAAATATCCGCGCTAATCGAACATGTATATTTCCAGCGCGATATGAAAACTATGCTTGGTAGAAACTCCGCGTAGCTTCCATCCTTGCGAAATAACAAATCCAATGACTTCACAAAGAAACCGAGTAAACCTTCATCTGTCTGTTGTATCTCTAGCAATGAATCAACAATTTGAAAGTTTTATTATTATTATTTTGTTATGTACAAAACCGAGTATTTATGAAGATGCTTTCGCGCGGACACAAAGGGAAGTAACTTTTGTTTTTCAAATAGCAACCAGAAAATAACACAAGTTAATCTAAGGTTCTATGACCTAGCGTGTAATAACTCAAACCTCAGTTACTTTCCCTAGCAGTCCTTTGAAGTCAAGTTACGAGTTCACAAAATCATATCAGGATACTAATAATAGAGTATGGATTTCTCATCAAAGGTAACAAAAATCTTTTTATCCCTATTTTCCTTCATTCATTTTCATTACAATTAGCGCAAGTTAAAAAGTTGTTACATCGTTGGCTCTGATAGGCGTGCGTCAAAACACTTCGCTCCATTCATCTTTCAAGTGACTAATGACGTTTGTTCATTGCGTGTTCACAAAGACGAGGGATGCTTGCAGTAGAGATTCATTTAGCGTCAGTGTTTCACATGAACGATTTCCTCGTGTAGGCAGCACGTAAACGTCGCCGATCAAAGAGCCATTTTCCTTCCTTCGATGCTAATACCCACGGCTCGCTGTGATCCTCTGTTGAGAAGCTTTTTCTTTTCATCAAACTTTCTCTTCTGTTTTTCAAAACGGTTCATCGACTTTTGAGGTTTCTGAAATTGACAGAACATAGCAAAGCAAGACGAAACTCGTTTTACATCCAATAATTTTTTTACTGTCTGATTAATCCTTTGTTCGTAAATTGGTTGTATACACTAAACAACAACTTATTTCTAATCTTCCCCTGTAGCTAAAGCTAATAACTTTCCTTAAAAAGAACACCTCTAAGCTGATGCATATGTCTATCATAATAGCAACCTGTTAGGCGTTTACTGGTCAGGCAGCCCTTAAGTTGGATTTCAACTGCATTCTACACCACACTGGCAAATTGTTCTTTCCAATATGCCTGACAACCGTCGCTCAAAGGCGAGTCGTGTGTACGTAACGTGACACTGACCTAGTAACTGTAGTCTCATCATCGACTTACCTTGGAGAAATCCATCCGTTCAACAGCATTTTGTGGTCGCACAACGTAATCTTTGTTGGATGGCATGGGAACGCGGGCTCGCATCACAAAGCCCTTGTCACCAGGCTTCACGGCTCTGAAGAGGGGTTCAAGACACGTCGTGTTAGTGAAGCGCAAAACAAATAAGGTTGAAGATCAAGCGTACTCACTTTTTGTCGCTCTGCAGAGCAGAATCGATGGACTTTGGAGTCCTGCCTCCATCGCTATCTACTGAACTGAGAAAGCAAAATAAAACAAGCGTGATAATCTCTTTTAGTCTACTTTAGATAAGGACGCAACTCAAAAGTATGATACTCTCGAAATAGGATATGTGAAAAATAGATTATTTCAAATGGGATGACTGCTGAGATGGTTGAGCATAACGACTGAAACGATGAAGTTTTAAGTAAGTATGAGTTCACCATCATTTTCACTACTACGTGAACCTCACTGGAAACAACTTCCGTTCATAAAAACCAGCTGCGGTTCAAACATCAGCCGGATCGGTCCAAATACAAGGTAAAAATAATGCTGTAATAGTACAAACAAATGTTATTTTTGCATCCTATAATAAGAGGATAGACATGTGGCTACAATAAGTGTCCACTTCACAGAGGTGTTCCTTCCGTGAAGTTGACAGACCAGCGGTTGTAAGAAGATTTTTCAGTTGGGACAAGAATTTGGGTCCCTGAAATGGGGGGAACCATTGAAGTAAGTTGTCGTGGAAGAAGCTTTCCATAGTAACAAATTCCAACACGATACCTTAATCTTCTTTTCTTGGACATGTTTTGGTAATCCCGTTGTTCTCTCTCCTCTCGACTGAGGGATTTGAAGTTTGACGTCACACCGAAAATCGGCCGCGCCCAGTCATCTAGACAGAATAAACCACAAACTTAGTAAAACAAAATAAATACTGAGAAAAAAAACAAATGAAATATACAAAATAATTTTAAAAAAAGGGACTAAACGCCCTGAAGCTAAAAGCATGAAACTTCTAGGGTCATTTTAATGTGGGAAGGCGGAAGTACTTCTCATTTCATGAGGGAGGACGGAAGTATTTCCAGAAAATTCCCTTCTATCGTAGTAACTTTACCTAATCGTTTGCTTTCTATCTTTAAAAAAAGTTATTTACGTGCCCCAAATCCACCCTTTTTAACAATTATGAAAGGTTCTGGACCTTTCTTACGTAATAATACGCATGAAAAATTACTCGCTTCTGATTGACTGAAAACGAGCGCATTCTCATGTAACCAGAGTGCAAAGTTGGAACACGAGTTTAAATAACAAATAGCGTGTGCTGTCAAAATTTTGCCTGTCTTGACTTTTTTTTTGGGTTGCTTTTTATCATGCATATTATAAACAAGTAATAGCATGGTTTCTCCTGCAATTTGGTGTTAATAAGCACTTGTAAATTTTCAAAGACTACAAATTGCACTTGACCTACGACCTCGTGCAATTTTGTTTTCTTTGAAAATTTACTTACTGCTCATTAACATCAAATTGCTCTTGAAATCATGTTATTACCTTTATAAAATGAGTTGGACTTGTATAAAATAAAAGATAAATTTGGTGCTAAGGCTAAGGAAAATGGCCTGCTTAGGGGTACGAGGAACTGACAAAGCAACAATTTAAAATCTCTCGGACAAAGACAAGCCGACAGGGTCCTCTCTCTTCTAATTTTGGTCCTTGGGAACAAGGTTGACGAAAGAGGGCGAGGGGAAATTCTTTAACGTTATGTTACCACCGGAATTGTACTGAAATGTGGTGCGGTGAGATGGGCTTCTATCGCAAAGCATTATTCAATTCCGTTACATAATGCACGACTTTTCAGAAGGAATCCTTGAAGGAAATTTCTATTAAAATCTCGTTCTTGTAACCGTAATAACAATACTTACTGACGAGTTTTCCTGCAATTTTCTTATTGGCTCTTGTCTCTCTCGGGTGGCGGCACAGGTACATGACTGCCTTACCGATTCCGCTCATTTTAAGAGTTCTGCTGTCCATGGAAGGAAACTAAAAACAAATAACTACTTATCAACCGAGAGTGAGGTCCTCACGAGGGAATCGTAGCTACAATTCAGCCAGTGAGCAAAAGGAACATTGTTAGTGACACAGAACAACCCAACTGGCAGCGAGGATCATGGGTAATCCATACAGAGTTACTACCTCTGGTCCATGAAATCCTAAAGATGTTGACTGAGGACAGAGGGACAAAAGTACGAACTTATTTTCAGAAAGCCCACAAGCATTTCAAGCTCAAAGATTACCTCGGCTAAGACTTTAAGCAGTCCTTCTCGAATCTGAAGATGAGGTAAAGAACCATCAGGCAGAGGGCTCAGCCAGTCCTATTAGCGTAAAGCAAAATACGACATGAGTTATTATGTAGAATACCGACCACGAGTACTGCAGTAACTACACGCGTGGAAATCACACGCACTTCCGGTGCGTCCATAGCCACGTGAGTAGTAGTGCTTTTCAAAAGAAAATACTTTCATTTTCATCGGGAAAAAGTTATACAGCCATTTTCAAATTGAGCGTTACAGTGATCTGGGACGTTTACAATAGGATTCACGACCTATCGAAACTGCCAACTTTCTGCTAAGCTGCTAAATTTTCTATTTCTGACAAAACATTTCTTCGTTTAAGGGTAAAAAGAAAAATAACACATCTGGATGAAAGAGCTTACTAACCTTCAAAACAGGCAAAACGCCAAGCTCGAGAAATGTAGTTTGTAAATCAGCTCTGAAATACCAAACGAGAGACAATCATGAAGTGAGCAAAACAATTAAAGAGAAGTATTTTGAATAAGGGAGGCAGACCGAACGGGTTAACAGTCAGACTCACTTGTGTAAGTGTGTTAGAACAGAAGGAAGCATTTTGAGTTTCTTGGTAGCTGCTTGCTTTGCTTCGTTCAGCATCCTATCTTCCTGAATAAATAAAAAGAAACAAACTGCATGTGAAGCTAGAAAAGTAACAACAAGAAGGACTAATTGGAATTTCAAAGTGGAATTACAGATTAAAATTATAAAAATAACCCAAAGTAAAAATCACAGGTACCTCTGCAACTTCTTTCATCTGAGTTATCATATGTGCTACTGCATCATCACTGTCACTTATGATGTCCACATTCTGTGAGTCCAAAATCATTAATCATCTGTAAGTTTTTATTCATATTCATTAAACTTTCATTAACTATAACTGTGTTTCAGAGACCTCTGAGATAAAAAAATATATTTTTATGCACAAAAAGGTGAATTTCATTGGGAGATATAGATTATCCCATGGAAAGTGCACACAAACGATTTTTATTCTTGGGTTTCGATGTGGGGCTTTTGCATGTGACAATCTAACTATGTATGAAGTAAATGAAACTTTGCAATTTCAAAACTGATTAAATAATAAAAGTAACTTTGTGTCCTAAAATTTTGGCCCGAAATCATACTTGTGAACTCAAATCAACTTGTGGTGCATTCCAATTTGATTGTGAAATCACGCATATGATGTCAGACCAAATTGAACTCCACTTGTTTCAATTACCAATATTCTGTAAATAATTCTTACCTTCCTTTTCCTTCTGAAATTCCTGTTCATCTGTATAAGCACACAAATAATGAGTTAGTCATAAAACCATCATAAACATGAAACTGCTAAAGGTTACCTTAAGTCCTGTCAAATCAGCCTGTTTGACGACCAAATATGATCATGGATATACCAAGATGTCAAAAATCTGTTATGAGCATGGGCCAAACCCAAATTCTATTTTGTAGCTGATGCTTAACAAAGTGATTTACAGAGAAGGATTCTGCAAGCCAAGGAAACTTTTTTCTTTCTCTATTATCCATTCCTAGGAAGTCCATTCTCGAGATCTAACCCTACTTGCAAGATGCAACATAAGAAGAAATCACAGAGAAGAAACAAAACATTTTAGAATAAGTTCCTTTGAGTAACCATAAAGACTGCAAGTTTGTATGTACCTCTTTCTTTTTCTGTATCATCAGGTCAAAATCTGACACAAACCTAAAAAGAAAACAAGATGTACATGTATGGCATAAATGAATAAATACAAGAACACAATTACATGAAATACCCCTGGGTAAATTGCATTTTTTGGGTGAATAACAGTAACAAACTGACCCCCACATGTAAATTGTAATTAAGAGAAATGTACCAAGAGAAACCTGACGGAATTCAGAATAGCAAAAGCACCAATGCAATTACATCATTCAAGTGAACAAGTAATGTTCCAAGAGCTCTCTTCATTTTTTGAAAAAAAGGTGTAGACTGAAATGAATTTAATTACAGTACACTTACACTTGCTTGTCATCCAAATCATCGTCATCATCATCATCATCGTCTAAGGCACTTTTGTTAGATTTGGGTTTTGGAACCTTCATTGTTTCCAAGTCATCCTTATTTGCTTTAACTTCTTCATCATCAGCTTCTGATCCAAGGGACAGTGAGTGCTGCTTTCTGTCTCGTGCTAAATACAGACAGCAAGGATTTGACTCTGAGTATTATAAACTGTGCATGAGAAAATTTCCCTGGATAAACAGTTACTGATTGGAAAAAGTAACAAGCTATTAATCTTTACCTCCCTTCTTCTTTTTGGTCACTTCAATGTCTTCTTGTCCAAATCCCTAAAAGTTTGAAGAATCAGTAAGAAATTGTTCTTTTGCTTTGATTACAGTATCAGAGCAGACTAGTAAAGAACATTGAAAAAAATGTCATCTTGCAAAGGGTACAAGTTTATTGACTATATTGTTATGTTAAAACACCAAATTCTCATAAGAAGCCAGAAAATATTTCACTCAATGTTAGTATCTGTGTAACTGCCCACCCACCCACCTCTTCCCTTAATCAACAAAAGTCAACTAATAACAAATTAGGGTTAATGTTGGGTTAGAGGAGGGGTAGATGTGTGATTTTATTGATCCAAATATTAATATATGATCATCAGTTAGGGGGGGAGTTAACATTCAGATCCCTGGTAGTGAAAAAGTTTAGCAAGAAAGAGAGGCGAAACAAACTAAGTAAACTGTCAGGTGTTTTCATTCTTACCACAAATTCTTCCTCCTCATCACTAGCACCAAAAATATCCTGAATCAGCTGCTCACCAGCCTCCTCTTCAGATTCTACCCTGATCAACATTTGAAGAAACATACTTCTTATCTAACTTGTAAAATGTGCAAGAAGAAAATGTTTGTGGTTACTGGTCCCAAAAAGTGAGTTTTGTTTGCTGCATTTACATTAAAGATTAAAATATTAACAGGTTTGAAATTTAAACAGTTAAAATATCTGGCAATGAAACAAGGGAAATGTGTTTGAGCAAAGGTAAAATCACCAATCCTTACAGAACTTTAACATAAGGGTTTGAGTCTGAAAGGGAATTAGGGCCTTTGAAAGAGGCTCCTGAACTGGTCACTGTATTGTCTTCTTGGGCTAAAACTTCACTCTTACAGTGCCTTTTGGCACACAGGGGTGTAAATTGGTTGGGCTAAACTGTGATGAAAATTTGATGAAATGCAAGGGGATAAACTTGTGATGGTCATGCAGTCACCTTGCCTCCAGGAAGACTTGCCACTATTAAGTTTGCCACTAGAGTTGTTGTGGTAGTGGAGTAGAAATTGTCAGGATCTCCTTGTGAACTTTCAAAACACTTGTTTTGTCATTCAATAGTCCCTTTGATATCTTCTTGTATCAGATCAAATTGGTGGCTCCTTGATCGTTATGCACATTTGACTCACCTTCTACCACCTTTATAAAACTATTAAGCCTTCAGCACAGCTCTGCAGTTTTGCCAATGGCATTCCTATGGTGATGCTTGCTTAGACTTAAGTTCAAACTTAAGAGTTGCCTAAATCTTTGAATCTATACTGAATTAGCTAGCAACCTTGGTGGCAAGTTTACTAGTGGCGCCTTGGTGGTGGTGAGATTACCTTAGTGGTGAGCTCACTGGTGGTGAGTCTTCCTAGTGGCAAGATAACTGTAAAATATCATGCAGGGGAAGGCAAAGTACTAAGCAAAGTTAACTTAAAATCTCTATTCATTAGATGCCTCCAGAACTTCATGATCATGTTATATAAGAGTCTGTTCTTTACGAATTATCCATGTTATTTAAAAGATATGTTCACCGTACAGTCTTCATGCTACAATTTGCATGGAAATCATATCTTGGCCCTTCCCAACCCAAAAGCAACGACTTACGGTCTGCACCCTTTTTCATACTTAGCTAGCAAAATATAGAACTCTCTCCCAGATGCTTACAAAACATTAAATTTTCTAGAATTCAAGCAGGAGATCCTCAGATATGAAGCTTTTCCACAGTACATCTACAAGTTATATTTCCCTCTGCATGCATAATGTTGTATATAGTTTATAAATAATATTGGAATTGTAATATAGCATATTTTTATTTTATTTTAGCTTATTTTCTTGAAGATATTAGCTCTACAGCTACACTGTGAATTTTGAGCATAAATAAAGTATGTATGTACGTATATGTATGTAACAGTACTCTTATATACTTCTGAACAGTACCATGAGTTGCACTGAGAAAAATAAAGATGATCAGCTGTGTGGTCACAGTACAAAAATTGCACATACCCTTCCTCATCTTGTTCTGTTGGTCTTCCCTCAGCAAGACTCTTCTCCTCTTTAGCTATGTTGTTGAGGTCATCGTTTTGGTCTGCAAAGAAAGGGCACAGTGTATGTGTCAACACTACCTATCACATGAGAGGTGGAACCAAGCTCCCAAAGGGTTGGGGGGGAGAGAGAGAGAGAGAGGCAGGATTAGTAAAAGAGTTTTGGAGTTGGTGGCTTTATTGTTGAAGTAAGTGGTTATTTTGAAGGTGAGATCAGAGGAATGTCTCAATAGAGTAACCAGCCTACATCACCATGTTTATAGTTCCCTATACTCACTGCTGGACAGTTTCTTCAGCTGTAAGGGATACCGGATCAATATCAGTACCTGGGCAACTGCCCACCTACCCCTCCCCTAACCCAACAACAGTCAATTGATGACAAGTTAGGGTTAATGTTGGGTTAGGGGAGGGGTAGGTGGGCAATTGCCCAGATACTGATGTTGATCCGGGATATCTTAGAACTACATCTAATGATCTAAGCTCTCTGCTCCTCTTTTTTCTGATTTTTTTTTTCAATTTTCTCTATAACTGGTTTGATAACCTAATACCACCTTTCCAACCAGTCAGAGACAAAATAAAACAAATGCAGGGGTTTCAATAACTTTTTCCATATTCAGCTGCTGATGGTGTGATTGGTGGCTGTACCTTCAGGCAAAACTTTACATGCAGTTCACTTACTGCTTAATACCCTCAGAGCTCAGGGAAAAAACTGGGCAATTCAAATAATGTCAACGTAATTTGGTTTTCATCAATGGGGTTGATAAAATGAGTTTGTTAAGTGTTACTTTACATAAAAGATACTAGGTGCACTCTGATTAGTGAAAAAAAAGGTTCAGTATACCATTAGACTATAACTGTTTCATAAAACAAAAGGCCACACTTTATAATGGCTTGCCAGCAAAACAACTGATGTGGAATGTTGAGAGAACACTCGACAAGTCTGCAAATCACTCATCTTTGGCTTGAGATTTCCGAGTGTTTCTCATACTACCCAACATCCTGAGTGAGTTATTGTACTGGTTCACAGATAGAAAGTGTGCCCTACCGTTTCAAAATCAATCATACCTATTGGCCCTTCCTTAGACTCATCTTCATTGCCAGGAAGAAGCTTGGAGACATCACTTTTCAAAATGTCATCAACTATTTCTGATTCAGGTCCTGAGAGTCCAAGACCTAAAGGTGATATTGGCATTTCTAAATCATCGTCCGTTGCTGCCCCTGAAGAAAAAGTTCGCCATCTTTCGGTTGTGTTCTCTGTTACATTTAAATTTCCCTCGGGCTCTCCTTCGCCCATCTCTGCTCTTGGTGTAGACAGCTGACTAAGAACTCCAAGTTCACCTTCGACTTCCGTTCCTTCTAAATTCTCTTGTTTTCTTTCAGATTCTTGATTTGTTTTTTGTGGTAATTGCTCAGCTTCTAAGGAAGCATCCTTCTCTTTGTGATCTTCTTTGGCGACCGTGTTCTCCTGGTCGTCAGCTGTTGCCGAAGTTGATGAAACGGGCGACATTTCCTGATCGTAGAGAGGACTAGCGTCAGGTTTCGCCTCCGTAATGATATCCTTTTTTGTATTATCTTCCCTATCACCTGGGAACTAACGTTAGAACTATCGTTGCTATCTTCAGGCTGTTGTTTGGTGGCTTCTTCGCCGGTTTTTCTTCATCTTCATTGTCTGAAATATCGCTAAAACCTGGCGCCCTTGGCGAATCACCGCCATGATGGATTTCAGGTGTCGGTGGCTTTTCTATCTCATCATCTCCGGAATCAATGTCGTCAAAGGGATTTCTGACATGATCACCCATTCTTGCAAGGAACAGAGTCTTCTATTCTGAATACCAAACCTTCTTAGGAGATGGAATAAAAACAAACCTCACTTCACACGATCACGCTTCGATACTCAACTCTCTTCAAAACACAATCCTCCGCTCAGTAGCCAAGCCTTTTAGTGGTTTCCAGTCTCCAGTGCTCGCTCACCTAACCCGCCTGTAAGACAGGAGGTGGACAATAGAAGAGTGAAGAAAAACAACAAGCTTAGCAGGCTACTGTCACCGGGTCCTAGCTTGCAACCGGCCGCAGCGTTCATAATCAGACTGCACGTACGATATGGAAATGGCAATCAGTTTTAGTGCAGTATGTATCACACGTAGGAGCCCATTAAGTAATTGGCTCCTGTCACACGGTAATTAACAGAGTCTACACCTTTCCTTAAAATAGGATTTTCTTAAAATAGACCTCTCCTTAAAATATGATTTTTTTTTAATATATAGCCCAGTTTGGTAGACTAATAATAAGGAGAATAAAGAGGCCAAAACAGAGCCTTGGAGAACCTGACTTTACAGATGACCACAACACAAGTTTCAACGACTCATCTCTCGCAGTTGGCGATTATAGCGGAGCTCGTAGAGCGTAGCCCCATAATTATACAAAATAGTAGTAACCCATCAAGCCGTACGACCGTACGACCGTACAAGGTGCTATTTTTAACATGCGTGGTCAACTGTACCGCGGGCACGTCAACGCCACGCTTTGTTCAGTAGTCCAGTGGTCAGTGTACTGGGCTCCGAGTCGGACGACCCGGGTTCGGGGCAAGCCGTTGTACCCTTGAGACGTGCGGAAAAAAATGCGAGCTCCGCTTTTTAGGCTTGGCTAAATCTATATATTAGAGCGTTACATTACAAGTTGATCAAAGCTTCGATTTAGGAGCAGATATTCATCACAGCAAATCTGTCACTGAGCTAACACCTCCTCAACTTTTATTGTGCTCTTCTTAAAGCTTCCAACAGTCTTACTGTATCATTGGGTTACTATCTGCTGTTTTGAAGCTGCAAAAAAGGCAAACTATACTGAAATTTACGTAGGAGCCTTAAGGCGGTTCTTTATTGAATCACTCTGTAACGATTTTACCACTTGGCACTTTCTATTCCTATCAATTTGACAATCCTTTTCCTCGAGGTGATAAATCAGCCGACAAAAACCTCAACTTCGTGGCTAATGGAATAAGCGCTCAGTCTTAATTTCGTATAACCCATCAGGAGAGCCTTTCAATTCTTTCGGTCATCGCGGTTGTGTCCATCATTTTTCCTGATATACTGTACGTGCAAAGTTCTCCCCTCAACCGGCGAATATTGTAGGGTCTGATGATCTATTGGCGAAATTAGGGACGTTGATCCCTGTCTTTAATTAATTTCTTTCCTTAGAACCACTTAACTGACTTGATCGCAAACATACAAACAGTCATTCAGCTGAGCGTCGGTCTTCTTTTATATTGAAATTGAAATGTTGAAATTCCCGGTCCTTGATTGAAGCCTATTCAATACAAAATTAATTCTGAACACCCTGACGCCAGAGGACATGTTATTTTGGCGAAGTGACAGAGTTCATTCATCGTAATAAATGAGAGAGCAAATGAAAGAGAAACTGAAATTCACATTTTCATTTGTATAGTAAATTGCTTGGGTGAAGACTTGTTGGTGAAAAAAGAAAAACAAATACAAATCCAAACAAAAACAAACAAATGAAAAGAGACATGAAAGTACAAAAACAACAAGAAGGGTAACGAAAATAACGATAAATGAAATGGGGAACGGCAAACAATGCTGATTTTGGTCCGTATCAGAGCACAGTTAAGTTTCGCAATGGACTGGATTCTAGCGCTGAAAATTTGTTCGATGCGCGAGATGTAAACAATTTTAAAGGTTTTTTTCTTGCTTTAGTGGACTCAGTATACTGTTACGGTAAGTGTTCATGAGGTAAAATCGTAAGCTTTATTTGAAAAAAATTAAAATTAATTTTAGTCCGTTTACAATAATCAAGGATTTTATGCAGTGACTAATGTTTCCAATTTTCAGGAAGATTATTTAAAAGCTGTTTACAAATAAGACAGCTTGATTGATTACCTAAATACAGTTTCAGATGGAAACATTTTCTTTCACTAAACAGAAAGAATTGCCCTTAACACTAGCTAAAATCCTTTTCAGCCAATCAATTAATCCATCTTATTTTCAAACAGGTTTTCAATAATCTGCCTGAAAAAAGAGATTAGTCATATTTTTGCGTTGGTAACACAAACATGGACATCATTTTGATTAAGGAAAATTGATAAAACCTTTTTTAGCGGGTGGCTCTGACATTAGTCATAGTTTCTATTATCGAAGGGACTTGAAGAACATTAAAGTAACAAATGGTAATCGATACAAGCGCTTAAATACAAAGAAAATATTTGCACAATTCATGTGCAAAATGGTAGCAGAATTTGTTTTGCTTTTGCTAAAAGTACTTCGCGTGATACAAAATTCGGCAAGCAATCGAAGAAAGCCATTTCAGTGCAGACTTAGAGTTTCAATGGGTTCAGTTGACTTCAGCGTTCTTTTTCTCCAGAGCGGTCAATTGCCGCCATGTTGGCGTTCATAACTTTGTTGAAGTTTGCGACAAAGAGGAAAACTGGAAGAGCAATGATTAAAACACCAAACACGGTCAGCAGACAACCCACCATTTTACCAGAGGCTGTCAGCGGGTACTGATCGCCGTAACCCACCGTTGTAATCGTGTTTACCGCCCACCAAAACGCGTCAGGGATGCTCGTAAAAGCGCATTTTTCGCAACCAGTCTCGGCGTAGTACGCTGCGCTCGATGATACCACGACACTGATGGAGATGAAGATAAAAAACATTCCCAACTCTTTCATACTCGTATAAAACGTAAATATCAATATCCGCATACCACTGGAGTAGCGGGAAAGTTTGAATATCCGTAAAACACGCAGCATTCTTGCCGCGCGCAGCACCGATAACGGTGCACGAGTGTTTTGCATTGTTAGAAGAACATAGTACGGAACGACGCTGATTATGTCAACAATGTTAAGCATTGAGCGAAAAAACCGCAGTTTATGAGGTGCGCTGCAAAAACGAACCACTAACTCGAAGGTAAACCAAATATAACAGGCCATCTCCAAAGACGAGAAAAACGTGCTCCTATTGTTGTTTATAGAGTTGATGCCCCCAGATGACGACTCAAAACATGGTATAACGACCGAAAGAAGAATGATAATAACAGATAAAACTGCCAGAACTCTTGCTGCGTATGATGATTCGGGATGTGAAAACAACAGCCATATCTTACGTTGTATGAGGTTTTGTGGTAAATCCTCGTCTTTTCCTAAAAGAGCACGCTCGATTTTATCTCGAGTAGAAGTGTAAGAGCTTCGAATTTGGAAGAAACGTACCTCATCGATAAAAACATTCTCAGGCACCATGTCGGGTCTAACTAGTCTCCCATACGACTGATAATAAAACAGAATCGCATCGAAAGCCAGTCTGTTTCGGTTGAAAAAGTATTCGTCATTTCTTTTATCAAAATATTGAACACGCTTCTTTGGACATCCTAAAAGAGTGTCTGGGTACCTCGACAAAGTTTCTTCTAAAGTTTCAAACATTGTTCCGCTTACGTTGATCCTAATTCTTGAACTGGCGGAACTTTCTTTCTTTGTCATCGAGAAAGTAGCGTTTGAAGTCATTGTACCATGATTCTTACGGTTCACCCCGCGGACTGTTTGCCTTACACTTTCAATTGCGCCGTTTGTCTTTCAATAATATTATTCTTATGCTGTTACTTTGCAGTCTGAATTTTAACGAAGGTGCCGCTCTTAAAATTGACTCCAACCTCGAGAAACACCTCAGGTGAGCGATGTCTTCATATACTGTCTCGCCGAAAATCCGTTTCGTGTTGTCCGTGTCGATTAATTAGCGATTTATTTCTCGCTCGAAGACAAGAACTCACTTTGTGGCGAATTTCTTCCCAGTGAGAGTTTACCCACGAATTACAATGTAAATATGCTTCAATAGTTACTTTAAGCTACAATAAATAATTAAAAATTTCCGACGCATGATCGCGTATCCTAAGCTAGAATTCAAAATGAAAAAAATGTGACAGGCAAATAACTTGATAATTTTAGCTGCGAGAGATCGACGGAATGACAGATTTTGTGGATATTTCTGGCGATGAAGGGGTGCTAGGACAATTAACTAATGCCTAAAGACATCTGCTTTGCCACTTGGGGTTAAATTGCTTCTCTTATAAAAAACCAAGTTTCACCGATTATCAAAATTATTTATGATTTTTACATAAAAAGTAAAAGATAGACGTGCTACTCAGAACACAGCGAAACATGTGTTTTTTACCCTTGACTATCAGCAACTCATTTGTTTACGCTTAAACACATAGTTGTTGACATGATAGATGTTCTCTATGAATCTTGTCGTTCTTGGGTCTCGCTAATAATGACTTAAAGTTAGACTTGAGGATTTGATGCTTTGAGATTCAAGTCATTTCATACTTATTTACATAGGAGTACCACTCAGTAATTGTAATAATGTATACTGCGAGTTCTGACTTGTATTTTTACACAAAAAACGAAAACAATTGAGTAATAAACGCACAGAGAAAAATCTATGAATATTCCTTGCAGATATCGGGCGCCAATGGGGCGATGTGATTCACTTACAGCTTTTAAATTTTCCAGGTGTTCGGAAAATTGGAACAAAGTCCCTAATTAAACACCGAAATAGCTATTTATAGGCGGCGTATCACAGGGATTCGAAGTGAAACGAGAACTAGTGTAGAAATTGATAGAAAGGCCAAAATGTATTTCGGTCGAGTCTGGAACAAAGTTATAGTGACATGTTTATTGACATGCATCGGAAGTGGAAATAAGTAAAATTAAGCAAAAAAAAAATAAAAAAAGCCCGCGAAATACTCTATTAAATCGTAATATATTACATAAAATGGTTTTGAGTAAGAGCTTTATGTTGGGGAAATTTGGTTATCTAAAATTTCTGTACCTTCTAAGGGTTTATTCCATTTAAGAATGGATTCTTGGATCCAGTAGTTGTTATGCGTTTATACATTTACATGTGGGGTTTACATAATTTGCATTTATCACGATTTGGAAGTTTTATTTGCTTGCCATATAATTGAACACAGAATATATTATCAATTGGGATTTCAAGTTTATCTAACAGGCGCTCACAGTGCGTATTTTGCATTTTGACTCCTTGCTGGAGTTCCCTTGATCGCCTATTTATAAAAAAAGTGGTCTCCTTTGGCTCAATTTACCTTACATATCTAAGAAAACAAGCACACAGATTCTGTCATGTTTATTATTTCTCCCAAAACATTCGCATAACTGCTTCTAACGTAAAATGTTGTGTTTACTCCCGGCACTTTTGTTATTGCCAATCCTAAAAGTGTGATGGTTATATCAAAGTTTCTTTTTCTTTCACCCTAAATAAGGTACAATTATAGTATGATTAACAACTATCCACTAAAAAGGCAAATATCCACCGCTAGCCACCGATGCTGAGGTAAATGGTTGTTTTAGTAAACACTAAAACAGTGAGATAACATAGTACAAAAAGATTATTTTAACTTATTTATTCCTGCAACAATTACAATATTTTCAGGCGCAAACGCTCGCACGAGCTGGTCGGAGGTGAGTAGCAAAGACTATTCGGAGTTTGAGTCACCAATCAAAGCGCGCCTTCAACGTTAGCCATTGTTTCAGTAAATACGGATATATGGCTGCTCAATATGACTAAACATAAGTGATCTTTCCACATTTATACAAGTGTGGTTGTGTTTTAATCTCATATGGCTGCTGGTCGTCAAGGATCCACTTCTCTCCTGAAGCTGATGTGCTCCCTTGCTCGTGTTCCACAGTCGATCCTTCCATTTCCGTGCTCTTCTTGTCCATCTTGGTCCCAGGATCAATCTTTTTTACTAATTCTCTGAGCAGAGCGTTTTGCACCTCCATCATATCGACCAATGTTTCGACGCGTTTCTCAGTAAGGTCAAGCTTTTTCTTAATCTCAGTATAATCTAAAACTACACCGGAGAACGGTTCTTCTTTGGCGCGAGGGGTAAAGTCCAAGCCCGAGGATATCTCCATTCCAAGAAGAAGCATCAACCTGAATATCGAAGACAAAGAAATAATTTTGTGAAGTGAACATTTTAACCCTTAATTTGACTCCCAAGATGTGATTGTTACTTCTCCCCTCAAGTTGCTATAAAATTCCTTGTCAATCAGTGACGAGAATGTAGTGTTAGATCAAAATGACAACTTCTACCTGATCAGTTTTCTGGTTAGCTGTTGACTGAATAATAAATGGTAAAGATATTAAAGAGAAGTAGACATTGATGGAGTCGTTGTAAAGCTGCTTTTTAGAATTTTCTGACATTTTTGAGATTTACGTGTGATTTTTTATCAGAATGGCAATCACGGCATACCTTTTCCTCAGAGTTCGACGATTTGGCCGCAAACTTACTTCTGGATGGCGAAAACGCCGCGAGATGCACCTCGGGAAGCTGTTTTCGACCCTAACGATATACATGACCTTCATAGCCATCCTTTTAAACGCAGCATTGCGGCGAATTGCGTCGATATCACCCACGGCAAGACCCACCTGTAGGTAAAACATGCAACCGTGATCAACGTCCCGCAAATTGTAGCACTAAGTTTCATTTCTTACACAGAAGCGTCTTGATAATACGAATTTTGAGTCGGTGAAATACTCAGTTGCGTCCCGTGCTCCAATTTTTTGTTTCAACTACAATAGACGTTATTTGTGGTGTATTCCACAGAAAGTTTCTATGTTGCCGAGCGTCTGCTCAGTAACAGAACAACAGGTCAAAATGTGGTAAGGACAAAAAATGGCACATGAGGCGCACCCGAGCGTGTCACTGACGTTGTTTCTTTATTTTGAGGTCTTTTGTGATCTGTTCCTGAGCATACCCATGCCTACATGGAATCTTTTTGTTTTATGCGATAAAGAAAAAAAAGGCCAATGGTGATGTGATCTATGGATGTCTATCTACCGATACATCGTAAGTAAGAAGCAGACAAAATGCGCGCATAATTTAGCTTAACCCTCAACACTCTGACATCAGTATTAGTAATCTCCATACTGTTCTCTGTACATTTACTAAGGTGCTGACAAGGAGAATTTGTCTAACAATCAAGAGTTTCTTTAGTTATTGATTATTTCCTTCATTCTCATGACATCAATGTGTGATTGAGTGGTGATATTGTAAGGAGAAATTAGATGCTCGTCACTCTTAGGGGCTAAATGGTTAATATATCACACCGAATAGACACATGTTAAGATGGGATCCATATGTCAAATAGATAATGAGTGGTGAAGCCAATAAGACTACTGCGTTTGTGATAGAACGTTGGTTGATTATGCATCCAACTAGTACTATTAAAAGTTACAGAAAAGTTTGTTATCTTAAAGCATACCAGCAGGTTCATCAGTACAATTGTCATTAAAATCAAGAACAAGCCGAGGAAAACGAAAGAAGCTGTCTGAGAAGATGTCGGCTTGTTTGTGATATTCTGGGAATGCATGAATCTGTCTTCAAAGTCAACCTCTCCAATTGTCATCACTACCACCTTCAGTAAAGAAAATCCCGGTTGTTTAAATACCACCTCCTGTGGAGGAAATACGAGAGATTCTCAGCGCTTTAGCCCTTTAACTCCCAGAGGTGATGGAGAGGTTACTTCTCCGTGTAATATCCATAAACTGTCTAGCAAACAGGTAATGAGAATAAACTTATCACACAAAAGTTGTTTTTCTTAATCTAACACCATATTCTCTTAACTAATTTAAAAGGAAATGTGTAGCAGCTAGAGGGGAGAATTAACAATCAGATCTTGGGAGTTGTTTATTGTTTATCATTATTGCATATTTCGCTTACTATAACGTTATGTCATCCTTAATCGTACCTTTTTGGCGCGCTCCGTTAGAAGATGAGGCGATTTTAGTTGAGTCATGATTCCAAGATACCCTTGACAAGACCGAGCGAGCTTTATATGTCGTCAAAGCGCACTGAAAAGGTACGATTAGGCATTTGCTGCACCCATAATGAGCCCAAAATCCGATGACATTTTAATCAATTACTGTAACCAAATCTGTCAAGCTTGTTGCTATTGAGCGAGTCAATAAACGGCGCAAAAAGGTACAGAATGAGGAATATTTTTACTTTGGGTTTTAAATTACGAGCATGATAAAAAAGGGAAAAAACTCACATAAATCACAAACAGAAGCAAATTTACTAACATTCACACTTATCTCTTATTTCATCTTACCTCTGATTTAAAGAGGACGGAGAACACCATGGAGAACCCAAAGAACAAGACAAAGAAGATCAGAAGTACTTTTAAAACCGACTTAGTGACATCTATAAACATGGTGACATAGATTCCAACCAGACTCAACCGACAAAGAACCAAGACTAGGTTCGCATAGCAAAGGAAAATCGAAATGGCACCAAATACCCAGATTAATTGTGGATAACGATTATGACGCTTCTCAGGGCCGTCAAACGGAATTGTCAAATCGAAAGCGAAAAGTGAAAACATGAAGAAACCCGTCGTACTGTAGAGTATCCATTCAGTGAGATTACTTAAAGTGGTGAAATAATGAAGCCTCTGGACAACTATTGCAATAACTTCCTTAATGAATCGGACGCCAAAAAGTAAAAATACTATTGGATACATAAAAGAATCTCCCAATCCTGTATCACCGTTCTGCATGAATCGGATTAAGAAAGCTGTAAACATGACAACAAAGACAAAATAGAACATAAAGTTAAAGTAGAACACCAAGCGCCCGAAAGAAGACCACTTCTTATTCAGCAAGACCTGTGTCAAAGGATGCTCGAGTAATTCTTTACGTTCGTGTTTCACCATGGTGCTCGGTCCAAAGAAATGGCTTCCTCTCTGGCAAATAGTGTTAGTAGGTCCGGGGTCTAGGAAACGGAGGTTGCAAGTAATGGTAAAATTTGGATCACTGGAACTTTCTATCTCTGATCGATCAATGCAGTAATCCATGACCAGCTGTGCACTCTCTGGGAAGTGTTTTATGAGAAGCTTCATGGGGGTAAGGCCGTTCTTATCCTTGTGTTCCATTATTTCCATCCATCTGTTCAGAAGCAAAAAAAACAGAGTCAGAGTCAAATATTTCCCGATCCGCCCGACCAAGCTCAATCAATCATTGACCCCTGTGTCTAACAAATCTTGAGATTGTATCTTAACCTAAACAGATTTTCTTTCGGTTATCCGAGGAAGGAAGCTCAAGATGGCTCATGAAGAGGTTTATCCGTTTATCTTAAAATACTAATTATTAATGAATGGACACTAAAACACTTTTCGTGTGTTTCCCTAACAAAACGTATCAAAATATCTCCAGCTATAACAAAGTGCAGGAGATCCTGGGTGGTATTTATCTGAGATTTGTATTAAAGCTTGACAATTTGATTGAGAATCAAAGTGCTCTGTGAGCAAACTCGTGAATTGACACATGATTTTGACACATGATGTTTAATGTTATCTGGTTTAGGGAATTTTGTGGTTGATTGTCATATCTAGAGTACGAGCATTAGTTCAGTGCTCGCTAATGTAGCAAAGAAACAAAGTAACTTTGGGATAAGAAGGCATTACAATTGAAATGATCATGCTATTACATTTGACAAGGGTGGATGATGTCGTGTTTTAAACGTATATCATTTTTGTTTCTGGTTCAAAAGAAAAGGTTGGAAGTGAATGTGGGTGAAAAGTGAAATTTACTGTCTGTCATTGTAAATATTAGAAAATCAAGGCAATACTGTCTTATTGAAAACGTTAACGATTCCCTCTTTATCAAATGAGACAAACGGGAACGAGTTTTGAGCGATATAACTAAGCCAAGACTGCCACCGTCATTTTGGATCTCCGCCTGGGTAAATTTTAGTCACGTGCAAGGCAACGTATAATCAATAACAAGATAGAATTTCATTTCAGGCCTATTTATCAATTTTGTAGTGTATAACTTTCGCATCTTAGTACGTAATATGTATTTTGAATCTTCAAATTGTCTTGAAACTTAAAAGAAAATTGTTCTTTAAAAATTCACTGAAAATCGGTTACTGAAATTGTTTGTTTAGGTGTTATTTGATTTTCGTGTTAACTTGTAATTTCGTCTGTCGCCGGCATCTTCTGTTGCTTCACACAGGAAAAACACACGATACGAAACGTAATGATTGATTTTGTCCTCAATCACGCCATAACAGAAGAAGCTTTTGAACATCTGTAAACTCCGAGCGCTTCGCAGTAAGTGATATTTTCAATGAATCTTCGGATTGTTTACAAGTTCAAGGATTGTAAATTACAATTTTATGGAAAACGAAGGTTGTTCTGTTATTTCAGTGTGAATCCTTGCATGCCTGCCAGTCGCTTGCGCCGCTTGTTGAAACTAAAACGAAAAAAAAAACTCTTTTAAGGTTATCATTGGCTTCTTTTTCACCCCACCACTATTCTTAGCAACAAAGGTCGCCATTTCGTTTGTTTATTGCTCGCCAAAAACTATCAAATGCATTTAAAAGCCTAAAATCGAAAAAAAGTTTACAGGAATCGACCAATCGAGCGTGCGAGCGAGCGAGCGAGTGCTATTCCCCACATCGTATCTACAACTCGCTCTTGCGCATGCGCGCAATTCACGAGTTAAAAAGGGGGAACCGAACTAAGTTTTGGGTGAAGCTTACATAAGGTTAAACATAAGGGTGTTTCTGAGAGGCTTTGGCTCTGCTGAAGTGACCTTAGGTGTCAGAATAATGATCACGACTGCATTTTGAGAAAGAGTCGAGAATTTCCATGGATACGAGAAAACAGAGGAAAGAATGGCACTAAAGCTAAGTTCCATCTAAGCCTTGGTTTTAGAAATTTATTTTACCATTTTTAGCTGTCTTAAAAGCAAGGAAAACGCCTTAATCGTAGCGCCAAAACGAAGAGGAGACCGTTGTTTTCATCGCACAGCTTGCCCAACTTTCGTAATGCTCTTCTATACTCTTGCTTTTCGGCCGTCACGTGCAGGTCGAGTCTCCTACTTCCTGCCATTAAAACTTTGAGTATAAATGGTAGATACCAGTTCAGTCTGGGGTAACTGTTCATACCTTTTATGCTTTATCATTACAAACACAACTTTGCTCTTTCCTGCCTTGGCGGCTGCCTCAAAACACGTTACACCATCTTTGTTACAAACATTCAAACTTGCCCCGTGGTCCATTAGCAGGTTGACAACGCCCACATGTCCTCTCCTACACGCAATATGCAATGCTGTCTCTCCATCCATGTTCACGTCATCAGTCTGTGGATTAACAGTGAGTATATCTTGGCACGACTGTTCCTTGCCCAGGTCTGCTGCACTCATAAGTAGTGTCCAGTGTTCTCTGTTTTTGAAAGAAGAGTTAGCGCCGTGTTGTAACAGAGTGTGGCAAACTTTCCTGCATGTAGAAAACGAAAACTCAAACATTTACGCTTTGTGTTAGTTCAATGTTTAATCTTATAATCATCTTTCCAGGAGGCAACGCAACCGAAGAGTTGCAATGCTGGATTCAAGACTAATGGTCTAAAATTAAATTCCTCGTGATAGAAGGGAACTTGTAACATTAGTTATCCCTTTAGAATATTAAGATAAAATCTGCTCTTATGTTTGGTGCTTAGAGAGTCGAAACTTACCGTAGCTTTCGTGGCATAGAGCAACCAGAAGTATTGGTTGTACCCCCAGAAGGGTATGATAGCCCATCCTGGGCTACTCCCCCCCCTTTGACCCTTAGGCCCTGTGGGAGATGTCTTGTACTGGATCACAACACAGCAACCAGGCCAAGGATAGAACCCAGCGCGTCAACCCTTTGGCCGCCGTTTCTCATACATTCCAGTGTAGCCCTTTCATTTACTTCAATTGGTGTCAATTCTTATACTTCCTTTTTTCAATGATTCATTCTTTCAAAATCTTCAAATTCAAAACTTTTTAAGAATTCTACAGTTTGATTCTATAAATAGGGTCTCAATGGCGGTAACCATTGGTCGACCACATTGAAAAGATATTAACCGTTAGCCATAGATTGGCCAGTATTTTTAAGCGTTAGCCGTAAAAGCTACACCCCATCAAGGCCCTCTTGTTGATAACTACGCATCCACTGCAACTTGTAGATTTTACAGTAAGTATTATTTTCGCTGATCAGAATCAAAGGGGACGAAAAGTGTGTTTGGCTTCACCAACTGTGGCATTTGTTCGGAATCATACGTTTCACATTATGACACTTAACCTTAAATCTCTTTGAGATAAACTGGGCAAAGGTACCTGTGTCCGTGTCTGGTCGCATCATGCAGTGGGGTCCTTTCTTGTTCATCTTGGTCATCCAATCCAGAGGCGACTCGTACTTTTTCTTCCACCTGTTCGTGCTTACCATCCAGAGCAGCACGATGCACAGGAGTTCTGCGACTTTCGTCGAGGTATACAACATTTGCTTTCTGGTCGAAAGAAGCTTCCATACTTAAGTCGGACAATCAACGTAGTACAGACATTAATTCGAATTCATAGGCGGCAGACGACTTGTCATCGGTGATTCAATGTCCTCTATCACGAAAAAATAGAGCACACAAGGAAACGAGAATTATCAAAGTTAAACGGATTCGGAAAAAAGTGTTTTTTAGATATAGAACACGCAGTAACAAGTGCAGGATATGTGGATCTCACGGAAATAATAACAATCAAAGTTAATTGGATTCGAAAACTCAACGCAACCAAATTTTTGCAACATAATAGATTTCACCAATATGCAAATTTCAAGTTTTCATATTCAAACAAGATACCATTTTACAGGCCAAAGATCATCTTTAGCAAAGATGATCGAAACTTTTATTCCCTAACTGACTGATTAGTACCAATAAATGCAATTATTTTGCTGAATGCTCTCAAAACAGAAGATCACGTGATCTTTAAACTTGTATTTAGGCATGATTATTCAATTTGTCCACTTTTCACACGTAAACAAAGATGCTTATTAAAGGGTTCACAGAAGTGTTTTCAATATGGATAATAATAATAATAATGCAAAAATTTCTCTAGCGTCCTATTCTAAAGCTCTAATGCGCTTTACAATAAAACGTTTATTTTTAGGAGAATTTTTTTCCATTGAACAGGTTGATGGACGTGTAGCAGGAGAAAAGATGACAGTGATTTAAGCATCAATAATTATTCTGCATTAATCAAGCCCCTACTAGTTAGTGCAGGGAAACCATACTTCTGTTTTGCGCGACCAATTCTAAAATTTGTCGCCTAAATTTATCAAGCAAATCGGGAGAGAGAGTAAAAGTTGGAATTTATGAAATCGATAAATCTTTGGGGCTGTTTGATAGTGCCACATTGGTGCAAATATAAGTATGCCCAAAATGTTCGCATGCATTATCATTAACATCAATTACTTCTATCTACGGCGACATGAAATTTGAAAAGAACGCGTAAGTGAAAGTGAATCTTGTTTCACATATGAAAGAGAATTTTTCTGTTTCTGAAACCATTCTTCTCGAACATTCTAGTTCCGGCATTGCGTCGACCCTGCAAATGGGTAGGACTAGTCACCAGTCATAACAACTCACCATGCTCATTCTTATTTGGATAAACCAACGCACACTCGCACCCACGTTGCAGATAACTCTTTCCTTCTTTCTATACATCTGCATAGCCACTCGCCGCGTGATTGAAAACGCTGTGTTCACACCTGACACTCTTACAAGTATAGGATAGTATTTTGCTGCTTAATGTAACTAAACGTTAGTAATCTTTCCACATTTGTACAAGTGTGGTTGTATTTTAATCTCATGTGGCTGCTGGTCGTTAAGGATCCACTTCTCTCCTGAAGCTGATGTGCTCCCTTGCTCGTGTTCCACAGTCGATCCTTCCATTTCCATGCTCTCCTCGTCCATCTTGGTTCCAGGATCAATCTTTTTTACTAATTCTCTGAGCAGAGCGTTTTGCGACTCCATCGTATCGACCAATGTTTCGACGCGTTTCTCAGTAAGGTCAAGCTTTTTCGTAATCTCAGTATAATCCAAAACTACACCGGGGGACGGTTCTTCTTTGGCGCGAGGAGTAAAGTCCAAGCCCGAAGATGTCTTCATTCCAAGAAGAAGCATCAACCTGAATATCGAAGACAAAGAAATAATTATGTGAAGTGAACATTTTAACCCTTAATTTGACTCCCAAGATGTGATTGTTACTTCTCCCATCAAGTTGCTATAAATTTTCCTGTCAATCAGTGACGAGAATGTAGTGTTAGATCAAAATAACAACTTCTACCTGATCAGTTTTCTCGTTGACTGTTGACTGGATAATGAATGGTAAAGATATTAAAGAGAAGTAGACATTGACAGAGTCGTTGTAAAGCTGCTTTTTAGACTTTTTCTGACATTTTGAGATTAACGAGTGACTTTTAATCAGAATGGCAATCACGGCATACCTCTTCCTCAGAGTTCGACGATTTGGCTGCAAAGTTACTTCTGGATGGCGAAAACGCCGCGAGATGCACCTCGGGAAGCTGTTTTCGACCTTGGCGATATACATGACCTGCATAGCCATTCTTTTAAACGCAGCATTGCGGCGGATCGCGTCGATATCACCCACGGCAAGACCCACCTGTAGGTGAATATGTAACCGTGATCAACGTCCTACAAATCGTAGCACTAAGTTTGATTTCTTACATGGAAGCGTCTTGATGATACGAATTTTGAGTCGGTGGCACACTCGGTTCCGTCCCGTGTTCCAATTTTTTGTTTCAACTACAATTGACGTTATTTGTGGTGTATTCCACAGGAAGGTTCTATGTTGCCGAGCGTCTGCTCAGTAACAGATCACAGATGAGGTCAAAATGTGGTAAGGACAAAAAAGTGGCTCATGAGGCGCAGCCGAGCGTGTCACTGACGTTGTTTCTTTATTTTGAGGTCTTTTGTGATCTGTTACTGAACATATTCATGCCTACATGGAATCTGTTTGTTTTATACGATAAAGAAAAAAATTGTCAATGGTGATGTCATCTATGGATGTATATCTACCGATACATCGTAAGTAAGAAGCAGACAAAATGCGCGCATAATTCAGCTTAGCCCTCTACACTCTGACATTAGTATTCATTCTCCATACTGTTCTCTGTACATTTACTAAGGTGCTGACAAGGAGAATTTGTCTAACAATCAAGAGTTTCTTTAGTTGATGATTATTTCCTTCATTCTCATGACATCAATGTGTGATTGAGTGGGGATATTGTAAGGAGAAATTAGATGCTCGTCACTCTTAGGGGTTAAATGGTTAATATATCACACTGAATAGACACATGTTAACATGAGATCCATATGTCAAATAGATAGAGAGTAGCGAAGCCAATAAGACTGCTGCGTTTGTGATAGAACGCTGCTTCATTTATACTTGTGCATCCAACTAGTACTATTAAAAGTTACAAATAGGTTTGTTATCTTAAAGCATACCAGCAGGTTCATCAGTACAACTGTCATTAAAATCAAGAACAAGCCGAGGAAAACGAAAGAAGCTGTCTGAGAAAATGTCGGCTCGTTTGTGATATTCTGGGAATGCATGAATCTGTCTTCAAAGTCAACCTCTCCAATTGTCATCACTACCACCTTCAGTAAAGAAAATCCCGGTTGTTTAAATACCACCTCCTGTGGAGGAAATACGAGAGACTCTCAGCGCTTTAGCCCTTTAACTCCCAGAGGTGATGGAGAGGTAACTTCACCGTCTAATATCCATTAACTGTCTGGCAAACAGGTAATGAGAATAAACTTATAACACAAAAGTTGTTTTTCTTAATCTAACACCATATTCTCTTAACTAATTTAAAAGGAAATGTGTAGCAGCTAGAGGGGAGAATTAACAATCAGATCTTGGGAGTTGTTTATTGTTTATCGTTATTGCATATTTCGCTTACTATAACGTTATATCATTCTTAATCGTACCTTTTTGGCGCGCTCCGTTAGAAGATGAAGCGATTTTAGTTGAGTCATGATTCCAAGATACCCCTTGACAAGACCGAGCGAGCTTTATATGTCGTCAAAGCGCACTGAAAAGGTACGATTAGGCATCTGCTGCACCCATATTGAGCCCAAAATCCGGTGACATTATAATTAATTACTGTAACCAAATCTTTCAGGCTTGTTGCTATTGAGCGAGTCAATAAACGGCGCGAAAAGGTACAGGATGGGGAATATTTTTACTTATTTTTACTTACTAAAAAAGGAAAAAACTCACATAAATCACAAACAGAAGCAAATTTACTCATATACACATTTATCTCTTATTTCATCTTACCTCTGATTTAAAGAGGACGTAGAACACCATGGAGAACCCAAAGAACAAGACAAAGAAGATTAGAAGTACTTTTAGAACCGACTTAGTGACCTCTATAAACATGGTGACATAGATTCCAACCAGACTCAACCGACGAAGAACCAAGACTAGGTTCGCATAGCAAAGGAAAATCGAAATGGCACCCAACACCCGGATGAATTGTGGGTAAAGCTTCTCAAGGCCAAACAGATCGAAAATGAAAAGTAACGTTATGAATGAAAGCGTCGTACTGTAGAGTATCCATTCAGTGAGATTGCTTAAAGTGGTGAAATAACGAAACCTCTGGACAAGTATTGCAATAACTTCCTTGATGAACTGGACAAATATAAGTAAAAATACTATTGGATACATAAAAAAATCTCCCAATCCTTTATCACCGTTCTGCATGAATCGGATTAAGAAAGCTGTAAACATGACAACAAAGACAAAATAGAACATAAAGTTAAAGTAGAACACTAAGCGCCCGAAAGAAGACCACTTCTTATTCAGCAAGACCTGTGTCAAAGGATGCTCGAGTAATTCTCTACGTTCGTGTTTCACCATGGTGCTCGGTCCAAAGAAACGGCTTTCTCTCAGGCAAGTGGTGTGAGTAGGACTGGGGTCTAGGAAACGGAGGTTGCAAGTAACTGTAAAATTTGGATCATCGGAACTTTCTGTCTCTGATCGATCAATGCAGTAATCCATGACCAGCTGTGCACTCTCTGGGAAGTGTTTTATGAGAAGCTTCATGGGGGTAAGGCCTTTCTTATCCTTGTGTTCCATTATTTCCATCCATCTGTTCAGAAGCAATAAAACAGAGTCAGAGTCAAATATTTCCCGGTCTGGCCAACCAAACTCAATCAATCATGTGACCCCTAAGTCTAACAAATCTTGAAATTGTGCCTTAACCTAAACAGATTTTCTTTCGGTTGTCCAAGAAAGGAAGCTCAAGATGGCTCATGAAGAGGTTTATCCTAAAATACTAATTATTAATGAATGGACACTAAAACACTTTTCGTGTGTTTCCCTAACAAAACGTATCAAAAAATCTCCAGCTATAACAAAGTGCAGGAGATCCTGGGTGGTATTTATCTGAGATTTGTATTAAAGCTTGGCAATTCGATTTAGAAAAAGGGGGAACCGAACTAAGTTTTGGGTGAGGCTTACATAAGGTTAAACATAAGAGTGTTTCTGAGAGGCTTTGGCTCTCTGTGTCAGAAAAATGATCACGACTGCTTTTTGAGAAAGAGTCGAGAATTTCCATTGATACAAGAAAACAGAGGAAAGAATGGCACTAAAGCTACGTTCCATCTAAGACTTGGTTTTGAAAATTTATTTTACCATTTTTAGCTATCTTAGAAGCAAAGAAAACGTCTTAATCGTAGCGCCAAAACGAAGAAGAGACCGATGTTTTCATCGCCCAGCTTGCCCAACTTTCGTAATGCTCTTCTCTACTCTTACTTTTCGGTTGCCATGTGCAAGTCGAGTCTCCTACTTCCTGCAATTAAAACTTTGAATTTAAATGGTAGATACCAGTTCAGTCCGGGGTAACCATTCATACCTTTTATGCTTTATCATTGCAAACACAACTTCGCTCTTTCCTGCCTTGGCGGCGGCCTCAAAACACGTTACACCATCTTTGTTACAAACATTCAAACTTGCCCTGTGATCCATCAGCAGGTTGACAACGCTCACATGTCCTCTCCTACACGCAATATGCAATGCTGTTTCTCCATCCACGTTCACGTCATCAGTCTGTGGATTAACAGTGAGTATGTCTTGGCACGACTGTTCCTTGCCCAGGTCTGCCGCACTCATAAGTAGTGTCCAGTGTTCTCTGTTTTGGAAAGAAGAGTTAGCGCCATGTTGTAACAGAGTATAGCATCTTTCCAGGAGAAAACGCAACCGAACAGTTGCAATGCTGGATTCAAGACTAATGGTCTAAAATAAGCTGACATGGTCTGTGCACATTGACTCAGTGAAGAAATCTTTTACGCAGAAGGTTGGAGCGTTGAAGAGAATGAGAATCCTTCCGAAGAAGGTTCTCGAGGAAATATACTTTAAAACAATTATCCCCAGTGTAACGTATGGAATTTCGGTATGGGGAAATTGTTCTCCTTCCGCACTGAACTCTCTAAACCATATTCATGCAAGAGCAGCTCGTATTGTGAATAACCTCGACTCAACGATGGCAGATGACACATGTCTCATGAAATCCGACTGGCTGCCCATCTCTTACTTCTATAAAAAATCTGTACTGTTCCTCTTGCACAAAGTATATTTTGGAACAACGACCCAGTCGATATGTGAACTGTTTTCTAAAAGAGTTTCTTCTAGATCTTCTCGTGTTCCTAACCAATTTAATGTCATTAGATTTAGATCAGAGACCGGCAGGAACTCCCTACGATACAGAGGTCCTGTTATTTGGAATTTTGTAAATAGATTAGTTAAAGTACCTGAAAGTTTTTATTCTTTTAAACAAATCTTACGTAAACATGTTAAGACTATTGACAATTTTTCATTTGAGAAAGAGGCAACAGTAGTTGCCAACAGAAAGGACCATTTCATTTACTTTTAGATTTATATGTTAGTCTTAGTGAACACCATTTTATTTGTATATAGTAGTTCTAAGTTATTATTGCAATTTTTATATATATGTAATTCCTAATATTTAGTATAGTAGGTCCACATCAGCCCTTTGGCTGCCTTTCACACAACCTACTTATCAAATAAAGAATGTATGTATGTATGTATGTATGTATTCAATTCCTCGTGAAAAAAGGGAACTTGTAACAGTAGTTATCCTTTTAGAATATTAAGATAAAATCTGCTCTTATGTTTGGTGCTTAGAGAGTCGAAACGTACCGTAGCTTCCGTGGCATAGAGCAACCACAAGTATTGGTTGTACCCCCAGAAGGGTATGATGGCCCATCCTGGGCTATCCCCCCCCTTCACCCTTAGGCCCTGTGGGAGATGTCTTGTACTGGAACACAACACAGCAACCAGGCCAAGGATAGAACCCAGCGCGTCAACCCTTTGGCCACCGTTTCTCATACAACAGAAAGCAATTCACTTACTTTATTTTTTTTCCAGTGTAGCCCTTTCATTTACTTCAGTTGGTGTCAGTTCTTATATTTCCTTTTTTTCAATGATTCATTCTTTAAAAATCTTCAAATTTAAAACTTTTTAAGAATTCTACAGTTTGATATTATAAATAGGGTCTCAATGGCGGTAACCATTGGTCGCCAATCGGGAAAATGAAGTTAGGTGTATAGACCAACAATTTTAACCGTTAGTCTTAAGAAAAGGTTAGCAGTAAAAAAAATTTATGGTGACCACATTGGAAGGTATTAACCGTTAGCCATAGATTGGCTAATATTTTTAAGCGTTAGCTGTAAAAGCTACACCCCATCAAGGCCCTCTTGTTAATAACTACGCATCCATTGCAACTTGTAGATTTTACAGAAAGTATTATTTTCGCTGATCAGAATCAAAGGGGACGAAAACTGTGTTTGGCCCCACCAACTGTGGCATTTGTTCGGAATCATACGTTTCACATTATAACACTTAACCTTAAATCTCTTTGAGATAAACCGGGCAAAGGTACCTGTGTCCGTGTTTGGTTGCATCATGCAGTGGGGTCCTTTCATCTTGGTCATCCAGTCTAGAGGCGACTCGTACTTTTTCTTCCACCTGTTCGTGCCTACCATCCAGAGTAGCACGATGCACAGGAGTTCTGCGACTTTCGTCCAGGTATACAACATTTATTTTCTGGTCCGCGAAAGAAGCTTCCATACTTAAGTCGGACAATCAACGTAGTACAGACATTAATTCGAATTCATAGGCGGCAGACGACTTGTCATCGGTGACTCAATGTCCTCTATCACGAAAAAATTGAGCACACAAGAAATAAGAATATTCAAGGTTAATTGGATTCGAAAACTCAACGCTACAAAATTTTTGCAACATAATAGGCTTCACCAATATGCAAATTTCAAGTTTTCATATTCAAACAAAATACTCTTTTACAGGCTAAAGATCATCTTTAACAAAGATGATCGACACTTTTATTCCCTAACTGACTGATTAGTACCAATAAATGCAATTATTTTGTTGAATACTCTCAAAACAGAAGATTACGTGATCTTTAAACATGTATTTAGGCATGATTATTCAATTTGTCCACTTTTCACATGTAAACAAAGATGCTTATTAAAGGTTAACAGAAATATTTTGAATATGGATGATAATAATAACAATAATACAAAAATTTCTATAGCGTCCTATTCTAAAGCTCTAACGCGCTTTACAATAAAATGTTTAAAGCAATAAATAATAAATTCGGAAATTACTAGAGCAAAACTACAAATTAAAATAGTGCTTGAAAAGATAAGTTTTAAGGTTGCTCTTAAAAGATGTAAGATTTAAACTACATTTTATATGCTCTGGAAGATTATTCCAAGGTTTAGGGGCGCAAATCCAAAAAGCATCCAAAAATCATCTTTAGCACAGTTTTGCTTGAAAGCAGATTTTCTCGCACCAAGTAAAATAAACCTTTTTTTAAAATGCTTCGCTGAACAACAAAAAAAACCTTTTTGTGGCGAAAATGTGTAGCCCATTGAATGCATTAGTTTTCTTGTGGAAGTGAGTTGCATAATTTTGATTCAATTTACGAACCACCTCAGGCGATATTGCTCCAAAGATGATTGAATTTATCATTTGATTGGACTTGACTGAGTAAATAATGAGCAATTCTAAAACATCCGACTGCATTATCTTGGAATTAAAAGCGAGATTTTAAGAGCTTTTTCACGAAAATAAAAACCAGCAATAGTGGGAATTCCTCATGTATGCCCAACATCTAAATTAAAGGAGGGTTTTTTTCATTGAACAGTTTGATGGACATGTAACAGGAGAAAAGGTGACAAAGGGATAAAAGCTTCAATCATTATTCTGCATTAATCAAACCCCTATTAGTTAGTGCAGGGAAACCATACTTCTGTTTTGCGCGACCAATTCTAAAATTTAGCGCCTAAATTTAGCAAGCAAATCGGGAGAGAGAGTAAAAGTTGGAATTTATGAAATCGATAAATCTCTGGGGCTATTTGATAGTGCTACATTTGTGCAAATATAAACATGTCCAGAATGTTCGCATGCATTATCATTATCATCAATTACTTCTATCAACGGCGACATGAAATTTGAAAAGAACGCGTAAATGGAAGTGAATCCTCTTTCACATATGAAAGAGAATTTTTCTGTTTCTGAAACCATTCTTCTCGAACATTCCGAGTTTCGGCATTGCGTCGACCCTGCAAATGGGTAGGACTGGTCACCAGTCATAAGAACTCACCATGCTCATTCTTATTTGGATAAACCAACGCACACTCGCACCCACGTTGCAGATAACTCTTTCCTTCTTTCTATACATCTGCATAGCCGCTCTCCGCGTGATTGAAAACGCTGTGTTCACACCTGACACTCTTACAAGTATAGGATAGTATTTTGCTGCTTAATATAACTAAACGTTAGTAATCTTTCCACATTTGTACAAGTGTGGTTGTATTTTAATCTCATGTGGCTGCTGGTCGTCAAGGTTCCACTCCCCTCCTGAAGCTGATGTACTCCCATGCTCGTGTTCCACAGTCGATCCTTCCATTTCCATGCTCTCCTCGTCCATCTTGGTTCCAGGATCAATCTTTTTTACTAATTCTCTGAGCAGAGCGTTTTGCGCCTCCATCGTATCAACCAATGTTTCGACACGTTTCTCAGTAAGGTCAAGCTTTTTCTTAATCTCAGTATAACCCAAAACTACACCGGAGAACGGTTCTTCTTTGGCGCGAGGAGTAAAGTCCAAGCCCGAAGATGTCTTCATTCCAAGAAGAAGCATCAACCTGGATATCGAAGACAAAGAAATAATTTTGTGAAGTGAACATTTTAACCCTTAATTTGACTCCCAAGATGTGATTGTTACTTCTCCCCTCAAGTTGCTATAAATTTTCCTGTCAATCAGTGACGAGAATGTAGTGTTAGATCAAAATAATAATTTCTAACTGCTCAGTTTTCTCGTTGACTGTTGACTGGATAATGTATGGTAAAGATATTAAAGAGAAGTAGACATTGACAGAGTCGTTGTAAAGTCGCTTTTTAGAATTTTTCTGACATTTTGAGATTAACGAGTGACTTTTAATCAGAATGGTACTGACGGCATACCTTTTCCTTAGAGTTCGACGATTTGGCTGCAAAGTTACTTCTGGATGGCGAAACGCCGCCGAGATGCACCTCGGGAAGCTGTTTTCGACCTTGGCGATATACATGACCTGCATAGCCATCCTTTTAAACGCAGCATTGCGGCGGATCGCGTCGATATCACCCACGGCAAGACCCACCTGTAGGTGAACATGTAACCGTGATCAACGTCCTACAAATTGTAGCACTAAGTTTGATTTCTTACATGGAAGCGTCTTGATGATACGAATTTTGAGTCGGTGGCACACTCGGTTCCGTCCCGTGTTCCAATTTTTTGTTTCAACTACAATTGACGTTATTTGTGGTGTATTCCACAGGAAGGTTCTATGTTGCCGAGCGTCTGCTCAGTAACAGATCACAGATGAGGTCAAAATGTGGTAAGGAAAAAAGTGGCTCATGAGGCGCAGCCGAGCGTGTCACTGACGTTGTTTCTTTATTTTGAGGTCTTTTGTGATCTGTTACTGAACATACCCATGCCTACATGGAATCTGTATGTTTTATACGATAAAGAAAAAAATTGTCAATGGTGATGTCATCTATGGATGTATATCTACCGATACATCGTAAGTAAGAAGCAGACAAAATGCGCGCATAATTCAGCTTAACCCTCTACACTCTGATATCAGTATTCAGGTGCTGACAAGGAGAATTTGTCTAACAATCAAGAGTTTCTTTAGTTGGTGATTATTTCCTTTACTCTCATGACATTAATGTGTAATTCAGTGGTGATATTGTAAGTAGAAATTAGATGCTAGTCACTCTTAGGGGCTAAATGGTTAATATATCACACTGAATAGACACATGTTAAGATGGGATCCATATGTCAAATAGATAATGAGTGGTGAAGCCAATAAGACTACTGCGTTTGTGATAGAACGCTGCTTCATTTATACTTGTGCATCCAACTAGTAGTATTAAAAGTTACAAATAAGTTTGTTATCTTAATGCATACCAGCAGGTTCATCAGTACAATGGTCATTAAAATCAAGAACAAGCCGAGGAAAACGAAAGAAGCTGTCTGAGAAAATGTCGGCTCGTTTGTGATATTCTGGGAATGCATGAATCTGTCTTCAAAGTCAACCTCTCCAATTGTCATCACTACCACCTTCAGTAAAGAAAATCCCGGTTGTTTAAATACCACCTCCTGTGGAGGAAATACGAGAGACTCTCAGCGCTTTAATCCTTTCACTCCCAGAGGTGATGGAGAGGTTACTTCTCCGTGTAATATCCATAAACTGTCTAGCAAACAGGTAATGAGAATAAACTTATCATACAAAAGTTGTTTTTCCTATTCTAACACCATATTCTCTTAACTAATTTAAAAGGAAATGTGTAGCAGCTAGAGGGGAGAATTAACAATCAGATCTTAGGAGTTGTTTATTGTTTATCGTTATTGCATATTTCGCTTACTATAACGTTATGTCATCCTTAATCGTTCCTTTTTGGCGCGTTCCGTTAGAAGATGAGGCGATTTTAGTTGAGTCATGATTCCAAGATACCCCTTGACAAGACCGAGCGAGCTTTATATGTCGTCAAAGCGCACTGAAAAGGTACGATTAGGCATTTGCTGCACCCATATTGAGCCCAAAATCCCGTGACATTTTAATTAATTACTGTAACCAAATCTTTCAGGCTTGTTGCTATTGAGCGAGTCAATAAACGGCGCAAAAAGGTACAGAATGAGGAATATTTTTACTTTGGGTTTTAAATTACGAGCATGATAAAAAAGGGAAAAAACTCACATAAATCACAAACAGAAGCAAATTACTTACATACACACTTATCTCTTATTTCATCTTACCTCTGATTTAAAGAGGACGGAGAACACCATGGAGAACCCAAAGAACAAGACAAAGAAGATCAGAAGTACTTTTAAAACCGACTTAGTAACATCTATAAACATGGTGACATAGATTCCAACCAGACTCAACCGACAAAGAACCAAGACTAGGTTCGCATAGCAAAGGAAAATCGAAATGGCACCCAACACCCAGATTAATTGTGGATAACGATTATGACGCTTCTCAGGGTCGTCAAACGGAATTGTCAAATCGAAAGCGAAAAGTGAAAACATGAAGAAACCCGTCGTACTGTAGAGTATCCATTCAGTGAGATTACTTAAAGTGGTGAAATAATGAAGCCTCTGGACAACTATTGCAATAACTTCCTTAATGAATCGGACGCCAAAAAGTAAAAATACTATTGGATACGTAAAAAAATCTCCCAATCCTGTATCACCGTTCTGCATGAATCGGATTAAGAAAGCTGTAAACATGACAACAAAGACAAAATAGAACATAAAGTTAAAGTAGAACACTAAGCGCCCGAAAGAAGACCACTTCTTATTCAGCAAGACCTGTGTCAAAGGATGCTCGAGTAATTCTTTACGCTCGTGTTTCACCATGGTGCTCGGTCCAAAGAAATGGCTTCCTCTCTGGCAAATAGTGTTAGTAGGTCCGGGGTCTAGGAAACGGAGGTTGCAAGTAATGGTAAAATTTGGATCATCGGAACTTTCTGTCCCTGATCGATCAATGCAGTAATCCATGACCAGCTGTGCACTCCCTGGGAAGTGTTTTATGAGAAGCTTCATGGGGGTAAGGCCGTTCTTATCCTTGTGTTCCATTATTTCCATCCATCTGTTCAGAAGCAATAAAAGAGAGTCAGAGTCAATTATTTCCCGATCCGCCCGACCAAGCTCAATCAATCATTGACCCCTGTGTCTAACAAATCTTGAGATTGTATCTTAACCTAAACAGATTTTCTTTCGGTTATCCGAGGAAGGAAGCTCAAGATGGCTCATGAAGACGTTTATCCGTTTATCTTAAAATACTAATTATTAATGAATGGACACTAAAACACTTTTCGTGTGTTTCCCTAACAAAACGTATCAAAATATCTCCAGCTATAACAAAGTGCAGGAGATCCTGGGTGGTATTTATCTGAGGTTTTTATTAAAGCTTGACAATTCGATTGAGAATCAAAGTGGTCTGTGAGCAAACTCGTGAATTGACACATGATTTTTTGGATTATGTTTAATGTTATCTGGTTTAGGGAATTTTGTGGTTGATTGTCATATCTAGAGTACGAGCAGTAGTTCAGTGCTCGCTAATGTAGCAAAGAAACAAGGTAACTTTGGGATAAGAAGGCATTACAATTGAAATGATCATGCTATTACATTTGACAAGGTGGATGATGTCATGTGTTTTAAACGTATATCATTTTTGTTTCTGGTTCAAAAGAAAAGGTTGGAAGTGAATGTGGGTGAAAAGTGAAATTTACTGTCTGTCATTGTAAATATTAGAAAATCAAGGCAATACTGTCTTATTGAAAACATTAACGATTCCCTCTTTATCAAATGAGACAAACGGGAACGAGTTTTGAGCGATATAACTAAGCCAAGACTGCCACCGTCATTTTGGATCTCCGCCTGGGTAGATTTTAGTCACGTGCAAGGCAACGTATAATCAATAACAAGATAGAATTTCATTTCAGGCCTATTTATCAATTTTGTAGTGTATAACTTTCGCATCTTAGTACGTAATATGTATTTTGAATCTTCAAATTGTCTTGAAACTTAAAAGAAAATTGTTCTTTAAAAATTCACTGAAAATCGGTTACTGAAATTGTTTGTTTAGGTGTTATTTGATTTTCGTGTTAACTTGTAATTTCGCCTGTCGCCGGCATCTTCTATTGCTTCACACAGGAAAAACACACGATACGAAACGTAATGATTGATTTTGTCCTCAATCACGCCATAACAGAAGAAGCTTTTGAACATCTGTAAACTCCGAGCGCTTCGCAGTAAGTGATATTTTCAATGAATCTTCGGATTGTTTACAAGTTCAAGGATTGTAAATTACAATTTTATGGAAAACGAAGGTTGTTCTGTTATTTCAGTGTGAATCCTTGCATGCCTGCCAGTCGCTTGCGCCGCTTGTTGAAACTAAAACGAAAAAAAAAACTCTTTTAAGGTTATCATTGGCTTCTTTTTCACCCCACCACTATTCTTAGCAACAAAGGTCGCCATTTCGTTTGTTTATTGCTCGCCAAAAACTATCAAATGCATTTAAAAGCCTAAAATCGAAAAAAAGTTTACAGGAATCGACCAATCGAGCGTGCGCCCACATCGCATCTACAACTCGCTCTTGCGCATGCGCGCAATTCACGAGTTAAAAAGGGGGAACCGAACTAAGTTTTGGGTGAAGCTTACATAAGGTTAAACATAAGGGTGTTTCTGAGAGGCTTTGGCTCTGCTGAAGTGACCTTTGGTGTCAGAATAATGATCACGACTGCTTTTTGAGAAAGAGTCGAGAATTTCCATGGATACGAGAAAACAGAGGAAAGAATGGCACTAAAGCTAAGTTCCATCTAAGGCTTGGTTTTGGAAATTTATTTTACCATTTTTAGCTATCTTAAAAGCAAGGAAAACGCCTAAATCGTAGCGCCAAAACGAAGAGGAGACCTTTGTTTTCATCGCCCAGCCTGCCCAACTTTCGTAATGCTCTTCTATACTCTTGCTTTTCGGCCGTCACGTGCAAGTCGAGTCTCCTACTTCCTGCCATTAAAACTTTGAGTATAAATGGCAGATACCAGTTCAGTCTGGGGTAACTGTTCATACCTTTTATGCTTTATCATTACAAACACAACTTTGCTCTTTCCTGCCTTGGCGGCTGCCTCAAAACACGTTACACCATCTTTGTTAAAAACATTCAAACTTGCCCCGTGGTCCATTAGCAGGTTGACAACGCCCACATGTCCTCTCCTACACGCAATATGCAATGCTGTTTCTCCATCCATGTTCACGTCATCAGTCTGTGGATTAACAGTGAGTATATCTTGGCACGACTGTTCCTTGCCCAGGTCTGCCGCACTCATAAGTGGTGTCCAGTGTTCTCTGTTTTTGAAAGAAGAGTTAGCGCCATGCTGTAACAGAGTGTGGCAAACTTTCCTGCATGTAGAAAACGAAAACTCAAACATCTACGCTTTGTGTTAGTTCAATGTTTAATCTTATAATCATCTTTCCAGGAGGCAACGCAACCGAAGAGTTGCAATGCTGGATTCAAGACTAATGGTCTAAAATTCAATTCCTCGTGAAAAAAGGGAACTTGTAACATTAGTTATCCCTTTAGAATATTAAGATAAAATCTGCTCTTATGTTTGGTGCCTAGAGAGTCGAAACTTACCGTAGCTTCCGTGGCATAGAGCAACCACAAGTATTGGTTGTACCCCCAGAAGGGTATGATAGCCCATCCTGGGCTACTCCCCTCCCCCCCCCTTGACCCTTAGGCCCTGTGGGAGATGTCTTGTACTGGATCACAACACAGCAACCAGGCCCAGGATAGAACCCAGCGCGTCAACCCTTTGGCCGCCGTCTCTCATACAACAGAAAGCAATGCACTTACTTTATTTTTCCAGTGTAGCCCTTTCATTTACTTCAATTGGTGTCAATTCTTATACTTCCTTTTTTCAATGATTCATTCTTTCAAAATCTTCAAATTCAAAACTTTTTAAGAATTCTACAGTTTGATTCTATAAATAGGGTCTCAATGGCGGTAACCATTGGTCGACCACATTGGAAAGATATTAACCGTTAGCCATAGATTGGCCAGTATTTTTAAGCGTTAGCCGTAAAAGCTACACCCCATCAAGGCCCTCTTGTTAATAACTACGCATCCACTGCAACCTGTAGATTTTACAGTAAGTATTATTTTCGCTGATCAGAATCAAAGGGGACGAAAAGTGTGTTTAGCTCCACCAACTGTGGCATTTGTTCGGAATCATACGTTTCACATTATGACACTTAACCTTAAATCTCTTTGAGATAAACCGGGCATAGGTACCTGTGTCCGTGTCTGGTCGCATCATGCAGTGGGGTCCTTTCTTGTTCATCTTGGTCATCCAGTCCAGAGGCGACTCGTACTTTTTCTTCCACCTGTTCGTGCTTACCATCCAGAGTAGCACGATGCACAGGAGTTCTGCGACTTTCGTCGAGGTATACAACATTTATTTTCTGGTCGAAAGAAGCTTCCATACTTAAGTCGGACAATCAACGTAGTACAGACATTAATTCGAATTCATAGGCGGCAGACGACTTGTCATCGGTGACTCAATGTCCTCTATCACGAAAAAATTGAGCACACAAGGAAACGAGGATAATCAAAGTTAAACGGATTCGGAAAAAAGTGTTTTTTAGATATAGAACACGCAGTAACAAGCGCAGGATATGTGGATCTCACGGAAATAATAATAACCAAAGTTAATTGGATTCGAAAACTCAACGCAACCAAATTTTTGCAACATAATAGATTTCACCAATATGCAAATTTCAAGTTTTCATATTCAAACAAGATACCATTTTACAGGCCAAAGATCATCTTTAGCGAAGATGATCGAAACTTTTATTCCCCAACTGACTGATTAGTACCAATAAATGCAATTATTTTGCTGAATGCTCTCAAAACAGAAGATTACGTGATCTTTAAACTTGTATTTAGGCATTATTATTCAATTTGTCCACTTTTCACATGTAAACAAAGATGCTTATTAAAGGGTTCACAGAAGTGTTTTCAATATGGATAATAATAATAATAATGCAAAAATTTCTCTAGCGTCCTATTCTAAAGCTCTAATGCGCTTTACAATGAAACGTTTATTTTTAGGAGGATTTTTTTCCATTGAACAGGTTGATGGACGTGTAGAAGGAGAAAAGATGACAGTGATTTAAGCATCAATAATTATTCTGCATTAATCAAGCCCCTACTAGTTAGTGCAGGGAACTATACTTCTGTTTTGCGCGACCAATTCTAAAATTTGTCGCCTAAATTTATCAAGCAAATCGGGAGAGAGAGTAAAAGTTGGAATTTATGAAATCGATAAATCTTTGGGGCTGTTTGATAGTGCCACATTGGTGCAAATATAAGCATGCCCAAAATGTTCGCATGCATTATCATTAACATCAATTACTTCTATCTACGGCAACATGAAATTTGAAAAGAACGCGTAAATGAAAGTGAATCTTGTTTCACATATGAAAGAGAATTTTTCTGTTTCTCAAACCATTCTTCTCGAACATTCTAGTTCCGGCATTGCGTCGACCCTGCAAATGAGTAAGACTGGTCACCAGTCATAAGAACTCACCATACTCATTCTTATTTGGATAAACCAACCCACACTCGAAAGACTTTATGGCGCCCCAACCTTTTCAGTGTCACCTGTTAACTCTAGCACGACCCACGAATCCCTTTCCCCACGTTGCAGATAATTCTTTCTTTCTTTCTATACATCTGCATAGCCGCTCTCCGCGTGATTGAAAACGCTGTGTTCACACCTGACACTGGCAAAAGTATAGCATAGTATTTTGCTGCTCAATAAAACTAAACGTTAGTAATCTTTCCACATTTATACAAGTGTGGTTGTGTTTTAATCTCATATGGCTGCTGGTCGTCAAGGATCCACTTCTCTCCTGAAGCTGATGTACTCCCATGCTCGTGTTCCACAGGCGATCCTTTCATTTCCATGCTCTTCTCGTCCATCTTGGTCCCAGGATCAATCCTTTTTACTAATTCTCTGAGCAGAGCGTTTTGCGCCTCCATCGTATCAACCAATGTTTCGACGCGTTTCTCATTAAGGTCGAGCTTTTTCTTAATCTCAGTATAATCCAAAACTACACCTGAGAACGGTTCTTCTTTGGCGCGAGGAGTAAAGTCCAAGCCCGAAGATGTCTTCATTCCAAGAAGAAGCATCAACCTGAATATCGAAGACAAAGAAGTAATTTTGTGAAGTGAACATTTTAACCCTTAATTTGACTCCCAAGATGTGATTGTTACTTCTCCCCTCAAGTTGCTATAAATTTCCTTGTCAATCGGTAACGAGAATATAGTGTTAGATCAAAATAACAACTTCTACCTGATCAGTTTTCTCGTTGACTGTTGACTGGATAATGAATGGTAAAGATATTAAAGAGAAGTAGACATTGACAGAGTCTTTGTAAAGCTGCTTTTTAGAATTTTTCTGACATTTTTGAGATTTACGTGTGACTTTTGATTAGAATGGCACTCACGGCATACCTCTTCCTCAGAGTTCGACGATTTGGCTGCAAAGTTACTTCTGGATGGCGAAAACGCCGCGAGATGCACCTCGGGAAGCTGTTTTCGACCTTGGCGATATACATGACTTTCATAGCCATCCTTTTAAACGCAGCATTGCGTCGGATTGCGTCGATATCACCCACGGCAAGACCCACCTGTAGGTGAAACATGCAACGGTGATCAACGTCCTACAAATTATAGCATTAAGTTTGATTTATTCGCTGGAAGCGTCTTGATAATACAAATTTTGAGTCGGTGACACACTCGGTTGCGTCCCGTGTTCCAATTTTTTGTTGCAACTACAATTGACGTTATTTGTGGTGTATGCCACAGGAAGTTTCTATGTTGCCGAGCGTCTGTTCAGTAATAGATCATAGATAAGGTCAAAATGTGGTAAGGACAAAAAGTGGCACATGAGGCACAGCCGAGCGTGTCACTGACATTGTTTCTTTATTTTGAGGTCTTTTGTGATCTGTTACTGAACAGACCCATGCCTACATAGAATCTATTTGTTTTATATGATAAAGAAAAAAATTTGTCAATGGTAAAGTCATCTATGGATGTATATCTACCGATACATCGTAAGTAAGAAGCAGACAAAATGCGTGCATAATTCAGCTTAACCCTCTACACTCTGATATCAGTGTTCATATTCTCCATTCTGTTCTCTGTACATTTACTAAGGTGCTGACAAGGAGAATTTGTCTAACAATCAAGAGTTTCGTTAGTTGGTGATTATTTCCTTTATTCTCATGACATTCATGTGTGATTGAGTGGGGATATTGTAAGGAGAAATTAGATGCTCGTCACTCACTGAATAGACACATGTTAAGATGGGATCCTTATGTCAAATAGATAATGAGTGGTGAAGCCAATAAGACTACTGCGTTTGTGATAGAACGCTGCTTCATTTATATTTGTGCATCCTACTAGTACTATCAAAAGTTATAGAAAAGTTTCTTATCCTAATGCATACCAGCAGGTTCATCAGTACAATTGTCATTAAAATCAAGAATAAGCCGAGGAAAACGAAAGAAGCTGTCTGAGAAAATGTCGGCTTGTTTGTGATATTCTGGGAATGCATGAATCTATCTTCAAAGTCAACCTCTCCAATTGTCATCACTGTCACCTTCAGTAAGGCAAATCCCAGCTGTTTAAATACCACCTCCTGTGGAGGAAATAGGAGAGATTCTCAGCGCTTTAATCCTTTAACTCCCAGAGGCGATGGAGAGGTTACTTCTCCGTGTAATATCTATACACTATCTAGCAAACAGGTAATGAGAATGAACTTATCACACAAAAGTTGTTTTTCTTAATCTAACACCATATTCTCTTAACTAATTTAAAATGAAATGTGTAGCAGCTGGGAGAATTAACAATCAGATCTTGGGGGTTAAAGGTTTAACCAATGCTCATTCGAAATCTTTTTCCATAAGCGTATTACTAAAGGGAATCGATCCTTGTAGCAAACCCGGACAATTTCATGGACTGTTGTCTGTTGTTTATCATTACTGTATATTTCGTTTACTGTAACGTTTTATAAAATAATTCAAATAGTACGCGCGCTCTGATTGGCCATAAAACCATTTTACATGAACGTATGTAAACACGGTTTTCGTTCCTCTTTAATTAGTTATTTTATAAAAGAAATGTAAAATGGTTTCCGTGTTTACATAGCCAACTCCCATCTCCCGCGTGTTTACGTCAGGCTATGTAAACACGGAAACCATTTTACATTTCTTCAATATCATCCTTAATCGTACCTTTTTGGCGCGCTCCGTTGGAAAATGAGGCGATTTTAGTTGAGTCACGATTCCAAGATACCCTTGACGAGACCAAGCGAGCTTTATATGTCGTCAATGCGCACTGAAAAGGTACGATTAGGCATTTGCTGCACCCATATTGAGCCCAAACTCGGGGGACATTTTAATTAATTACTGTAACCAAATCTGTCAAGCTTGTTGCTATTGAGCGAGTCATTAAAGGGCGCGAAAAGGTACAGGATGAAGAATATGATTTTTACTTTCGGTTTTAAATTACGAGCATGATAGAAAGGAAAAAAAAACCACATAAATCATAAACAGAAGCAAATTTACTCACATACACACTTATCTCTCATTTCATCTTACCTCTGATTTAAAGAGGACGTAGAACACCATGGAGAACCCAAAGAACAAGACAAAGAAGATAAGAAGTACTTTTAAAACCGACTTAGTAACCTCTATAAACATAGTGACATAGATTCCAACCAGACTCAACCGACGAAGAACCAAGACCAGGTTCGCATAGCAAAGGAAAATCGAGATGGCACCCAACACCCAGATAAGTTGTGGGTAAAAATCATGACGCTTCTCAAGGCGGAGTAACGAAAATATCACATCGAAAATGAGAAGTAACGTTATGAATGAAAACGTCGTACTGTAGAGTAACCATTCAGTGAGATTGCCTAAAATGGTGAAATACTGAAGCCTCTGGACAAGTATTGCAATAACTTCCTTGATGAATCGGACGCCTATAAGTAAAAATACTATTGGATACATAAAAAAATCTCCCAATCCTTTATCACCGTTCTGTATGAATCGGATTAAGAAAGCTGTAAACGTGACAACAAAGACAAAATAGAACATAAAGTTAAAGTAGAACACCAAGCGCCCGAAAGAAGACCACTTCTTATTCAGCAAGACCTGTGTCAAAGGATGCTCGAGTAATTCTTTACGCTCGTGTTTCACCATGGTGCTCGGTCCAAAGAAATGGCTTCCTCTCTGGCAAATAGCGTTAGTAGGACTGGGGTCTAAGAAACGGAGATTGCAAGTGATGGTAAAATTTGGATCATCAGAACTTTCTATCTCTGATCGATCAATGCAGTAATCCATCACCAGCTGTGCACTCTCTGGGAAGTGTTTTATGAGAAGCTTCATGGGGGTAAGGCCGTTCTTATCCTTGTGTTCCATTATTTCCATCCATCTGTTCAGAAGCAATAAAACAAAGTCAGAATCAAATATCTACCCGTCCGCCCGACCAAACTCAATCAATCATGTGACCCCTAAGTCTAACAAATCTTGAAATTGTGTCCTAACCTAGACAGATTTTCTTTAGGTTGTCCGAGGAAGGAAGCTCAAGATGGCTCATGAAGACGTTTATCCGTTTATCTTAAAATACTAATTATCAATGA